TGCACTGCCAAATCCGGAGGCGGCCACGAAGGTCGTGGTCTTTTGCATAGGTTGGTTCAAAAACTGATTAGTGGCCTTTTTTAGATCTTGAAGACTGTTTATCTTCCTGAGGAAACATCTGCCTGGCTTTCAGAATCTTCCAAAACACAGAAGCCTGTGGGAACTTCCAAAGTAAGCTTCCAGGGCAGTGGGGTGTTGAGTGTACCTGATTATTTGCTACGATAGGAAAAACGGCGTGAACCTCGAGAACCCAAAGACTCCAAATCCCCTCCAAAAAGGAAGGCGTCACGGCACAGGGCCAATGGGAGCACCAAGTGAGGGTTCTTCATCTTACAGTTATCCAATGTATCTGATGGCGGGTTCAGACGTGCAAAGACAGCTCGATGGCACAGTGACCAGTCTGAATCCGAGGAAGAGCCGTCCTCGGACGATTCAGAGCAAGATGACAGGGAGGACACACCGACCAAGCTGAGCTCGGAACATGGAGACGGGTCTAGTGGACAAGAGAGCGACGAGGAAGCGAACGAGACAAAAGGGGAGCAGAATCGTAAGCCAAGTCGTAAGGCAGGGACGCGTGCAAAAGTGTGTTGGACCTCTCGTTACTGCGCCTTGTCGAGTCTGACCTTACTTTCACAGAGGAAAATCAGTAAGCAGGTGAAGAAGAAGGGTAATCACACGAGAAAATCATGATTTTTTTATTGTCTACTTTGCTTACTTACGCCCATTGATTTTGTGCTGTAGTTTTGTCTATCTTGCTTACTCGTCGTGTACTGCTTTGCATCCACGTAATCTGTGTTACACATGAGTAATCTACTCCCCAGAGCTGTGTCTTCGAAATGTGCATGCCGAACTTGCCGAGGTCCATCTCACGGTGCACGAGTGCCTCCACGGGTCCATGAGGTTGAGCAGTCAAACGTTCTCCGTACAGCAAGTACACAAGCCTTCTGAACTAACGTCAAAGCACTCCTCACGCGGCCACCGTGAGGCAAACGCAACAGCCTCGTCCCTGAACCTCATATACCCTCCAGGCTGGCCTTTAGCGACTTGGACACCACCAGCAAATGGCACCACCTATTCTAGCACAAAAGGACAAGAAACTATTTGCTGATCTTCTAAGCCAGTATGAAAACCGACAGCTCTCCAAGGGTAGAAAGACGGCCGATCAAATACTCAAAAAGTATCCCGAACATGGTGGTATGTCAATCTGAACTGACGCTCGTACCTTCATGGCTGATTCGCAGTGCTGCAGAAACAATGTGTATGAAGGGTCTGATTCTGGTGCACCTTGGCCAACGTGATGAGGGCATCAATCTCGTCAAGGAGGGCATGCGCAAGGACCTGTCTTCTCATATCTGCTGGCACGTCTGGGCGCTCATCCAAAAGAGCGAACACAAATACGAGGATGCACTCAAGTCTTATATCCAGGCGTTGAAGTTTGATAAGGTGCGTCTGATTGGTAACTTATTTGTTATGGCGTGTCTCAATGCTTGAATAAAGGACAATTTCAATATCCTGCGAGATACTGCTGTCCTTCAAACGCAGACGCGTCAATTTGAAGGCCTGGTAGAAACACGTCATAACCTCCTCCGCCTGCGGCCTTACAACCGACACCACTGGGTTGGCCTCGCGGTTGCATATCAACTTAATGGAAACCTCGCTGAGGCGAAACAAGTTCTTGAACATATTGAAGGGTTTCTTCGGGTACGTGTGTTCACATCATTCTATCTGCTCACCCATGTAACGTGTTTGCAGAACATAGGATCTTCTAATGTGGAATTCTCGGAGCTGTTGATGTACCACGTTCGCATACTAGAGGATATGGGCGACTTCCAATCCGCGGTCGACATGCTCGAGTCACATGACAGGGCCAAGGGCGGCTCTGTCCTGGATCGCATGGCAAGCACGGAGATGAAAGGTGTGACTACATGTCGCTTACATCTTGAGATAACCTCATTCTTTACAGCTCGTTTATTGGCAAAGCTGAAGGAAAGTGATGCAGATGACGAGAAAAAGACTGCTTGGACGGAACGAGCAGATGCTGCTTGGCGCTGGCTTCTGTCACAAAATGCTGATGGCTACGAGTATTACAAAGGGTTCCTTGCTAATCAAGGCATTGACCTTGGTGAGTGCCATTTTTGACGCTTTCATCTGGTACATTAACTGTTTTCCAGCCAATGTCACGGACGAAAATCGAGAAAAGGCGCTTGAGATGCTCCGCGACTACTCTAATGTTCAGTTTGCTACCGCTCCGCGACGCCTGGCTCTTCATGTGGCTACTGGACAGGAATTTCAGGATCTCATCAAACCCTACCTGACCAATGGGCTCACGAAAGGGATTCCATCCCTCTTTGCTGACCTTAAGCCGCTGTACAAGGATTCGGTCAAGCGTCAAATAATCGAAGACATCGTGGAAGAACTTCGTGCGACCTTTGCTACCTCAACTGGCGATTCTGTTGAGCCAACAACCTACTTGTGGGCGCTGTATCTCCTCGCACAGCATCATTCCTATCTAGGGCGCCACAAACAGGCCTTGGAAATATTGGACATTGCAATAGTACATACTCCGACACTGCCAGAGCTATATATGACACGCGCCCGCGCGCTCAAACGGGCGGGTGATCCTCATGGCGCTGCAAGGGCCATGAACGATGCTCGTCTGTTGGATGGGCAGGATAGGTTTATCAACACGAAAACGGGCAAGTACTTGCTAAGAGCTGGCATGGTTAATGAGGCAGACACTATATTCTCCAAATTCACGAGGGTGAGTGTGTCACATGTCATGGAGATGTCTTCTTGTCGTTCATCCATTTCTGGGCCTAGGGAGGGGCGCCTGCAGGGGCAGATTTGGAGGAGATGCAGGCAATGCATTACCTTGTCGAGCAGGGCGATTCATATCGACGAGCTGGCAAACTCAACCTTGCTTTAAAGAAGTACTATGTCATACAGAAAGTGAGCCCTTAGTTTATGACATCGTCTGGCCATGGAGGCTTGACTCTCGGCAGGTCTTCGAATCGTTCCGTGAAGACCAGTATGAATTCCACCAGTATTCTGTACGGAAAACGATTCTCAATGTTTACACTGAGTCAGGACTGTACGCCATAGGTTTGATTTAATTGGCTGATAATATGCTTCTCCAGGATGTTGAAATGGGAGGATAATGTGCGGTCACATCCAGGCTTTATCCATGCAGCAGTTGCCACCGTTCAAGTGAGTTTTTGGCACGCGTATGTGCAGTCAATCTTCTTATGTTTCTGAAGATATGGGTTGCATTGTACGACGACGCGACTCTCGGCCCCAGTCTTCAACCTCCAGGCGAGTAATGGGTTGCGGTTTATCATCCTCAGCTGATCGTCGAATTTAGAAACAACCGCCTCAGACGTTTCCTCCAAGAAAGCCATCAACAAGGCGAAAAAAGCTGCCCGTAAGGGACAGCCCGAAGTAGACGGTGCAAACAGCAAAAAGGGTGAATCAACACGTCGTTCTGTAACCTTCGCATTGTCTTCTTTACGCAGCCGCATTCTTTCCGCAGCCACAGCCATCCAGCCCGAGGACAGAGGCCTTGAGCCGCCCCGTCCGAGAGATGATGATCCAGAAGGCCTGAAACTGGTCTTGGCCGAGGACCCCCTCGAACGCGCAGACAAATATTTGACGGGCCTATCGGAGCTTGTACCACAAAATATGGACATTTGCTTTGCGATATATGATGTCGCTATTCGACGAAGTAAGTCGAGCGTCAAAGTCTGAAGCCAGGGGATAAATGCCTGATTCGACAACAGAGAAATACCTGCAAGCTGTCAGGATGCTCACGCGCGCGCATTCGCTGGATTCAGAACACCCTGGTTTACACTCACGGATAGCACATTTGAGGAACACTGGTAAGATTGATTACAACTTCACGCTGTTATCTGACAGGAGTCCCAGTCTCGTTGTTGCCCGAGCCAATTCCCGCGCCGGTCGGACCAATACTTGCTGAGTCCATTGCATCACTGCTTCCAGCAGAGGTTTCCCTTGAGTTGTTCAACTCTCAGTACCTCCAGAAACATTTTTCATCGCCGATGGCTATTGTAGCACATGCTAAAGTCGCACAAATATTGAAAGCACCGCAAGACGAGGTTGACTCCATACTATTCACAGTACTGAAGGAGCCCGTCCAACTCGATCACGAGGTTCGTGACCACCCCTTCCATGTGAACGAGCCATTTACATACTGCGGGCAGGCTGCATTTGCAGTGCTATCGTACTTGAAGGAAATGAAATCTCCACGCGCTGAGGAGTTCCGGATAGCGTGCAATGACAGATTCGAGCTGAGCACACTGTTCAGGAGCGACGAGGAGATTGATGCTCTCCAGAAATCTTTCACAGAGTCGGGGGAGTCTCCGGCTGATGGCGAGGCCCTTGAGACTGTTATATGATTACAGATATCACACCTACGTACAATGCTGCTTTATCTCAGACCCAAACCTCCAGACTTTGAGCTCATTCGGAAGCTCCATTGAGAGTAGCATCATGAAGCTGATGTTTTGATGTGTGCTTGAAGACACAATCTTTCATATATGATGAGTTGACTCACTTTCGATTTGTTCTCTGCTCATCTTTCTCTCCCATCGTGACAAGTGCAGTCATGTACGAGTCGTGAAATCATATCAGCAATTGAATGGCTTCAAATAAGGCGGAATAAAAGAGGCCCAGCTGAAAGCTTGGGGCACCAACACCCCGAATTTCCATTGAGTCTTTCGAGATTCGGGCATATCTCCCGATCTGCTTACTGGAAATTTGGTGTGGAAGCCTACTTTGGTGCTTCTTCGTATCAACAGAACCACTGCCTCTGTCCATTGGAGCACCAATGAAGACAAATTTACAGTCGCCAGTGGTGCAACATATCCTCTTCTTTGCGAGATGACGTCATTTCTGAAGGACTCACCGCGATCGAGTATGGGCCGCTGTTTCCGCAAATGAAGGACATATGAACGTTAACGGAACAAAGTCTTGTATACAGTAGATGCAGGTTACAAATCGAGATCGTGTGATACTATGGTGATCGACTCTAATATATGCCCCCTATTAGGCAGGACACTGTTAATATAATGTCGAATGCAATGGAAAAAACCCGTAGTGGAGTGCTAGTACTCTGTTCCCACACAATGATCGTGAGGGCGACCACCAAGGCAAAGTTACCAACGACGTTCAACAGGATCGGGAAACATAACAGTGATAGAGGGAACGCAGCACGGAGTGATTCATTTGAAACAAAACGCTAAGGGACATAGGTGTCAGGGAATTAACTCGAAAATAACACTTTGACTCACTTTAATTTGTATCAAAGAAATGTCTTGTATCATGGGGATAGTACAAATACTATGAGTGAGCGAGCCATATGACGAAAAGGCGGCCACTACAAGCGCCGTGTAGGAGGCAGTGGAGGTTGTTGAAGGGTCCTGAGTGGCGACCATGAATAGCATTGCGATAAATAGCACTATGGCCGACGATGTGAAGTGTATCTTCGACCGCTTTTCCACCCGTACAAGGAAAGCCGTCCAGTTGTCAGATTGCAGCTCGAGTCCCGATGAGAATCCCAGAGCTAATCTTATCACCAAATATACGAATATTCTCTTCAAGTTTGAGGCTGGAGTGTGTTGCGTGTTCTCAACATGGCGGACCCGGTGCTCCTCAGTCCTCTCCACCTCGGCCTCCTTCCTCTGCTCCTCAGCTTCCTCCCTCTTGGCCTCTGCCTCCGAGTACTTTCCCTCGCCTTTCCCATTAGGCTTGGAGGAGTCCAGTAACAACGGCATACTAGTACTGGAAGATGGGTCCGTTTGATCCGTCATGATAGTGTGGCCTGAACCTGGGTGCAAAAGGTGAACTGTGAGGGGCGGGTGGGCCTGAACGGGTCGAAGACGAGTGCACTGATTCGGTGGGCGAGTGTAGCGCGTCGGACGAAGCTGGTTGATGGCAAAATGGTTAGTGTCAGATGGAGATGTCTTTGGAGGAGCTTCGTACGAAAGACAGACCTGAGAGATGGTGCAGTGTGGCGGGTGCGCAAAGACAGTGTGGCAGGTGTGCAAGACAGTGCGGCGTCCTCGGCTAACTTGGAAAACCCCTTAGCTCTGCACAGTGGGGCAGGCAGTAAGGATTATGAATGGCTGGATCATTTTAAGAATCTAGACACTAGTATAAGTACGAGCGTGAGTGATCTAAGTACGGCGAGACGAGAAAAGAATGACTCACCCTCAGTCTGATATAACGGAGTGAGGGAAGAGTGATACAGCAGGAAATCAAACATATATAGATGGTTTGTATGCCAAACATCATACTCCGACAGATGCTGTGGTTGTGTTGCAAAACACGTGCACCAATGCACCAACCTCCTCGACTCCATCCACGGCTGTAAATTCCTCCTTGATTGATTTACTACCGGAGGCCCAAGCAGTTGCGAAGACGCTTGAAGTCTTTTCGGGGGAGTGCCTTAGTAAAGATATCGATTCGGTGAGATTGTCCTTTGATCTAACATAGTGTAATTTCAGGCGACGTGTTGACGGTAGAATGTCGATTGCTTCAAGTTAAATCACGTGGGCGTGGAATGTGAGAATGCACTTGGTAGTAAGCTTGGCTGGTACCTATTTGACCCCCTATTTCAATCTTGTAATGACAGGCTTTGCACTGGCACTCCACTGTTGGATTATCAAACCTTCGTCATGGACACTCGGTACCGATCGTTACCTTCGTAGCTATATATTCTCATTTGTTCCCACGCCTGGTACTACCCTCAGTTGACTTCGTACGTCGCTGAGGTCAGTACCATTATAGTATTCAGTATCTACTTAACTAACAACATGTGTAGCTATCTGCTACAGTTATACCAATATAACCAGTTGACTTCGTACATCGCTGAGCTATCTGCTACAGGTTATGAGCCCTGAGCACCATCAGTGAAAATTTCAAATTAAGCGCGCGAAGAAAAGACTCACAAAAGGATGTCCACCTCGAACGGAAAATTGGGAGAAGACTTTCTCCGCATTCCGAAGCTCGCTGCCGACGGCGAGAACTGGATGATGTACAAGGAACACCTTCAGTGGTCCATCGATGCTCGGGGGCTGCTCGGCCATTTAGATGGTACCGAGACAAAGCCCGTGGATCCCCAGATGCTACCTAGCAGAGGAGCGTCGTGGGTACCAGCTATGCTGGATGAACTGAAAGAAGTCAGTACATATAAAACTGAGCTGAAGGAGTGGCGAACGGGCCAGGCCATAATGAAACAGCAGATAGCGGGGACAATCCCCAACTCGCTGTTTATTCAAATCAAAAATTTAGACATGGCGAAGGACATATTTACGCACCTCTCGAGCCTATTCGAGCAGCATTCGCGTGTGGTGTCCGTGGAGCTATTGCGAAAGCTCCAGGACCAAAAGTGCACTGAAAAAGGAAACATCAGAGAGCACTTTGACAAGATGCGAACGATCAAAGAACAACTGTCCTCATTGGGACACGCACCTTCCGATGAAAGCTTCGTGGCTATGATTATGAGCTCGCTACCAGTGTCCTATGACCCACATCTATCTGCGCTGACAGCGTCAGCAAAAGTATCGAGCGTTAAGCTCACCTCGGATGTATTGATATCGACTATTGTCGACGAGTATGATCGTCGAGCGTCGAAATTGAAGAAGGCTGGCTCCTCGAACGACGATGCTGCCTACAATGCAAATACCAATCAGCGCACACAAAAGATCAAAGGAAACTGTCACAATTGTGGCAAATACGGCCATATGCAGCGTGACTGCCGAGGAGCCGGCGGGGGAGCATCCGGAGGAAAGGGAAAGGATAGGCCCGATGTAAAAGGCAAGGACAAGCATGCTGAAACAGCCGCAAGTGCAAAAGACAAAGAGAAAGATGACGAACCTGAAGGGGTATGGTTAATGCACGAAACCGACATATCAAATGAACAAACATCGTTTACCTATGCGACATTGACCGACTCGAGCAAAAACAACCACACTTGAATCAAATTGTTTGATTCGGGCGCTTCGCGCCATATGTCATCATACTGAGAGCTATTCCATGACTTTGTCAGCATTAGCCCAAAGCCTATCACAACTGCGGACAAACACACCTTTGAAGCAATTGGTAAAGGAAATATAACGATCCTGCTGCCAAATGGGGAGTCAAGCACTCGAATACTCCTCAAAGACGTTCTCTATGCACCCAAGATGGGCGTAACCCTCGTGTCCATAAGCCGCCTTACCGCAGCCAGCTACGCCGCGCTATTTCGTGAAAACTCTTGCAAGATTTTCAATGAAAAGAAAAAGCTAATGGGGGAGATCGCGGTCAGTAGAGGATTGTACTGTATAAAAGGGTCAAAAGGAAGCTTTGCGGGAGTGGCAGGTGTGAAAGAGACACTGACCATGCGTGAAATACACGCGCGTTTAGGGCATATGGCCCCCAGCACAATCGCGCAGATGATTCGCGATGGCGCGATCACTGGCATCGTCCTTGACTCGTCCGAAGCAACAATGGAGAGCTGTGAATCGTGTGAGTACGTGAAGGCTACGCGCAAGCCGATAGGAAAGGTGCGAGACCCACCTAGACGTGAGAGCTTCGGGGACGAGGTCCACAGCGACCTCTGGGGCCCTTCACCTGTCAAAACTCCCGGTCAGAAGGAGTACTTCATGTCGTTCACGGATGACCACACATGCTTCAGGCACCTCTATCTCCTCAAGTCCAAAGACCAGACTTTCGACGCCTATACCAAATTCGAGGCCTGGGTCAACACGCAATTCAGCGTGAAGGTCAAGCGCCTTCGTTCAGACCGAGGAGGTGAATATACTAGTGAGGAGTTCACTCAGCATCTTAAGTCGAAGGGAACCGAACGCAAACTCACCGTTCATGATACGCCGGAACACAACGGTGTTGCCGAGCGGCTGAATAGAACTGTTGTTGAATGGGCGCATGCTCTACTGCATGCCAGCGGGCTACCAAAGCACTTGTGGGGGGAGGCTATAATGCATGCGACGTGGTTGAAGAACTGAACCGTCACGCGTGCACTGAATAATAAAACTCCCTATGAAATGTTATTCAAACAAAAGCCGAGCCTGGAGAACTTACCTATCTGGGGGAGCCGTGTCAAGGTACACACGACGGCAGGTTCAAAGTTTGACATGCGCGCTGTGGAAGGCCGGTGGATGGGCTTTGACCCAGAGAGTAATGGGCATCGCATCTATCTACCCAACACCAGGCGCGTAGCGGTCGAGCGGAGCGTCAGATTTGACACCACAGAGGTTAGAATACCTCTAGAAGGACCTGAAGAAGGGGGACACCACATGGTACGAACCAATGATGTTGGTTCAACAGCCCCACCAACGGTCAGCCACACAGTACAAATCGATGATGTTGGTTCAACACTTACCGGCAAATCACCTGCCCATAACCCCAAACCAGCTCCTTCTATCGACCACCTAGGTCCACACTTCGAAGAGCCTGCCGAACTGTGCCATTCTACAAGGATAAGGGTGGAGTCAGCATATATCAAGAGCCTCAGAGAAGGCACCGGTACCACCGATGGCCAGAACACAGACTTACCTCGAGGTATGCGACCTGCGGGGGAGTACAGCAACTTGGCCGTCGAGTTAGGTGTAGCCGGTGAATGTGGGAAAGTGGATGAAGACGACGAGGACGTCTATGCAATGGTAGCCAGAGTTGCCGAAGTAGAGGCAACAGACCCCGCAACACTGGAGCATGCACACATGAGAACTGATTGGCCGAAATGGGACGACGCAGTGAAGAAAGAACTCACCGCGCTGAAGGACGCCAATACGTGGTCCATAGTGGAAAGACCGGAGGGAGCAAACATCGTTGGATGTAAGTGGGTGTTTCGCATCAAGAGGAATGCGGACGGAGAAATCGATAAGTATAAGGCTCGACTAGTTGCAAAAGGCTACTCACAGGTGTACGGCATTGAATATTATGATATGTACGCACCGGTCGCACACCTCGCTTCTCTCCGGACGATCACAGCAATTGCCGCGCACAACAATTGGGACATTGATGTATTTGATTTCCATAGCGCATTCCTCAACGGCAAACTTGACCCCGACGAAATCATCTTTATGCAACTTCCCCCCAGACTCCACGTCGATTCCCAATTCAGAAACCCCGTCGCACACCTCCATGTCACGCTTTATGGCTCCAAGCAGGGAGCTCTCAAATGGTACCAACAGCTGTGTTGTCTCCCCGCAGACTTAGGACTAACGCGCGCAGAATCTGACTGGGGCGTGTTTTACAAACACATTGGCCCCGACATCCTAATTCTCGCCGCACACGTCGACGACTGCACCGTCACTGGCAGCAACTGCACGCTCATCGCCAAGCTCAAGCAGCAAGTAGCTGCGCGCTACAAACTCACGGATCTGGGACCAGTCGCCTCCCTCCTCGGCATGAAGGTGACGCGCGACCGTGTCGCGCGCATCATCTCATTCTCGCACGAGACATACATTGAATCTATCCTAGCTAAGTACAACTTCACCGACTTCAAGCCCTGCTCCATTCCCATGGACCCAAACGCACTATTGTCCTCCTCGCAATCTCCAAAAACGCCCACCGAAGCCGCCCTCATGAAAAACATCCCGTATCGCGAAGCCGTAGGCTTGCTGATGCACCTAGCCGTCAGCATGCGACCCGACATCGCGTTCGCCGTATTGACCGTCGCGCAATTCGGCACAAATCCAGGGATGGCGCACTGGGATGCTGTCAAACGCATCTATCGCTACCTCGTAGGTATGAAGAAACTTGCGCTCACCTTCGGTAGCTGCAGGCAGGGGCTGGAAGGGTTCTCAGACGCAGACGGCGCATCGCAGGAACACAGACATGCGGTGTCCGGATATGCGTTCCTGTTGGACGGCGGGGCAGTATCCTGGGGATCGAAGAAGCAAGAGCTCGTGACTCTTTCGACGACGGAGGCAGAGTACGTCGCAGCGACGCACGCTGCCAAAGAAGCCATCTGGCTCCGACGCTTCATCAGCGAAGTCTTTCGCCCGCTCGCACAACCTACCGTCCTCCATTGCGATAATCAGTCCGCCATCGCGCTTGCTCAGTCTGGGGCGTTTCACGCCCGGACTAAGCATATAGATATACGTTACCATTTCATTCATTTCTCTGTTGATAAAGGTTCTATCTCAATCGTTTATTGCCCTACGGACAGTATGGTCGCGGATACACTTACTAAAGCTCTTCCTAGTTTAAAGGTTAAACACTTTGCCTCCGCCCTCGGACTTCGCTCGGTTTGAGGGGGAGTGTTGGATTATCAAACCTTCGTCATGGACACTCGGTATTGATCGTTACCTTCGTAGCTATATATTCTCATTTGTTCCCGCGCCTGGTACTACCCTCAGTTGACTTCGTACATCGCTGAGGTCAGTACCATCATAGTATTCAGTATCTACTTAACTAACAACATGTGTAGCTATCTGCTACAGTTATACCAATATAACCAGTTGACTTCGTACGTCACTGAGCTATCTGCTACATCCACCGCCTACTACAACATCGATAGCATCAATGGCTACCAATTCCAAAGTCGCTGATGACAGCAGTACACCTCCTTCATATGACACAATCTCAGCAAGTCCCATTCAATGTGATCAATCATCCATATTTTCCTCTTGTCGCTTGAAGGAGAAACATACAGCTGTTCTGTCCCGCATCCGTGATATCGTCTTAGGCCCTGATTTCATCCCTTCTTCTGTTGTTCCAAATGTCAATGCCTGTGCTGCTGCTCTCCCAGCTGCCGAGTTCTCCAAAATCCTGAAAGAACGCAATATCGAGGGCCACACAGCACTGTATTGGGTGATTGTGAACAATCGGCCACAAGCTCTTTGGGCGTTGAACAAGTTCATTTTCATTTTCAGTTATTATTCCTCTGTTTGTGAAGACGACTTACGCACTGCATGCATGATAACTAGCAACCAGGAAATTTTTATCCAGCTAGCTCTTGGAAGTCATAAGTAGTACTACCAGTAATGTCTATCGGAGAGACCACTTATCTGGATACTAGGAAGCGAAAACAGGGATTTCAGACGCCTTTTGGGTTGCCCATTGGATCAGCTTCAGGTACACACGTGTGATGAACCCGCCAACCAGTTCAATGTTGTTCTGCAAATCGGGATGTTCCAAAAACGCCTGCACTCCACTGCTATTAGTGATACAAAGTTGATATACGAATTTGTTGCGGGGGGTGCGTGGTCCATTTCTCTCGCCTTATTCCTTCATTGATCTGATGGCACCTTGCAGGATGCATATGGTGGTTGCGCTTCCACATGCCAGAGCCTAATAATGGAATATGGCACGTCAAGATTGGTCTTTGTCGGTCTAGCCATCCAGCGCGTCTCAATGCTGTACTTGTGATCGAGGCACACAACCGGAAATCTGGCAGTGCAGCCCCACCTGAAGCACTAAAAATTCTATTATCATTGGCGGACACAAAATTTGTGGCCCTTACACCTTGGCTGTATGTTGAATTTGGTGTGATTCCATGAATTGTGGTGTACTGATTGTCTTATGACCCACAATGACACTATTCCTTGTGCTCCCGTTGGTGTTACAGGCATCTGTAACACCTACCGGAGCACCTACCGGAGCCCCAGCTCTTCCTACACCAGCCCCCACTCTGCTAGACTCCCAACGCAGCAGAACACTGCCTGCACTTAGAAAGACAGCGGTCTGGACTGCTGTGATGCCGCCCCTGGCGCTGTAACACCACCCCTGGCCTAGACGGCCTTGTACCTGATCCATGGAGGCTGTACGCCTCATGGTCACCCTAGATCAGCACATGTATACCTCATGCTGCTTCATGTAGATCCGGAGCGCTCTTGGCGCCTCATGTACTTATGCGCAGTCGCACTTGGCGCTGCATGCTTGATCAGAGGTTAAGCCTCATGTACCTTATCTGACCTCATGTCTTGTTATCATAGATCCTAGATATACTATAGATTACAGACTGAGCTTGAACACTTACATGTAACACATATAAGTAGACAGATTATTGTACTTAGACTTTACTTTACTCTACTAGGTTCATCCCAGAACTTGTTCAGCTAAGCCTCCCAGCTCAGCTGCCTAAGACCACACTTCTAAGTCGCTCCCCGCTTCTTAGCCGTATCTGCTAGCCCTGTATCTTGACGAGCGCCGTCTTACCAAGATCACCAGAGGAACCCTTGACGTTCCGTCAAGCCGAGAACCACCCTCAGCTTCAGTAGGCTCACTCGAGCCGTCGCTGAGAAGACCTATCCTAGTTCGCACACGCCGACCGACGTCAGCGTAACAGTTGGCTACTAAAGAACTCCCCAGAACAATTGTTATCCTTCGAACATGACATGGCGCATATCAAATGAGCTGGGTGATTGGGTAATGCACGAGTAAGTCTATTTATCAATTGAGGAAGCATCTCTCTTACACTTCCCCTGACATTGTACTGTTACAGGAAGATAAAATATGTAGACGACGAGGGCACCCTAGATGCGAAGCTGGAGATAACATTGTTATGAATCAGTCTGCATTGAGACTAGCCAAGCAGTACAAATGATTTGTACAAATTCTGTATTCTTTCGATGCTATGCGTGATGGGCAACTGAATGTCTCGAACAATGACAAGTGCTTGTTCTTGCTGGCATCCAGGGACCAAGTTGGACCATGGTGAAAGTGTAGGGAAAGGTTCTGGATGATGCAGTTGGGCTCACCGGACGGCTGGAGGCACGCGGAGAGGTGCTGGAGGATGTACACAGCCATCATTGGAGCAGGGTGGCGCTGACGGCTGAATGTACTAGTTGGGAGCGGTTCGAGATCTATATGTTTAGTAGAGCAAAATAAATTCGTGACACGCATCTGAGATCTGAGATCTGAACAGTCGCAGTCCGGACCTAAGCTCATCGATGCATTAATCACGACATCGCACTGGTGATTGAACAGTCAATGCGATGCTTGAATTACTCAACAGCATACAACAGAATTTGAACAATTTACATCAACAACTGGCAATATTGTTATGAATGCGTGCACTGGTGAACTCGAGGGAATGGATAAAAGAGGTCGTCATAAGGATAAAGGATCTAGTACTCGTTGTCTTCTTCCTCTTCTTTACGTAAATGTACTTTTACTTTCTTGGCAGTGGAGTACTAATACACGATAGGGGAAAATATTTCCTATTTCAATCTTGTACCACAACTGCATCAACTTGGATGGCTACCAATTCTGAACTACCTCTGGCATATGACACAGCAAGTCCCATTCAATCCGAACTAGTTGATGACAGCAGTACACCTCCGGCGTATGACACAGCAAGTCCCATTCAATGTGATCAATCATCTGTATTTTCCTCTTGTCGCATGAAGAAGAAACGTACAGCTGTTCTGTCCCGCATCTGTGATATCGTCTTAGGCCCTGATTTCATCCCTGAGTCTTCTGTGGTTCCAAATGTCATTATCTGCATTGATGCTCTCCCAGCTGGTGAGTTTCCCAAAATCCTGAAAAAATGCAATATCGAGGGCCACACAGCATTGTATTGGGCGATTGTGAACAATCGGCCACAAGCTTTTTGGGCATTGCACGGGTTCATTTCCGGTCATTATTCCTATGTTTGTGAGATCGACTTACACATTGCATGCATAATAACCAGCAACCATGCAATTTTTAGCCAGCTAAATTTTGGAGTTTGTAAGTAGTACTACCACATTCGAAGATACCACAGTGCTGATTTGGATACTAGGAAGCGAAGACAGGTGTTTCAGATGCTTTTTAGGTTGCCCGCCAGATCGGATTCAGGTACATACATGTGATGAACCCACCAACCAGTTTAATGTTGTTCTGCAAATCTGGATGTTCCAAAAACGCCTGCACACTACTACTAGTCGTCATGTAGGGTTAGAATACAATTTTGTTGCGGGGGGTATGTGGTCCATGTCTCTCGCTTTGTTTCTTCATCAACCTGATGGCACCTTGCAGGATGCATATGGTTGTTGCACTTCCACATGCCAGAGCCTACTAATGGAATATGGCGTGTAGATATTGGTCTTTGTCAGTATAGTCATCCAGCGCGTCTTAACGCTGTACTGGTGATCGAGGCGCACAACCGGAAACCTGGCAGTGCAGCGCCACCTGAAGCACTGAAAATTCCATTATCATTGGCGGACACAGGATCTGTGGCCCTTACACACTGGCTGTAGGTTGAATTTGGTGTGATTCCATGAATTGCGGCGTACTGATTGTCTTATGATCCACAATTAAACTATTCCTTGTGCTCCCATTGGCTACTAAAGAACTCCCCACGGCTGTTTTTATCCTTTGAACATGACATGGTGCATATCAAAAGAGCTGGGCGATTGGGTAATGCACAAGTAAGTCTGTTTATCAATCGACTTACACTTCCCCTGACGTTGTACTGTTATAGTGAGACGGAATATGTAGATGCCAGGGGCACTCTAAATGCAAAACTGGAGATAACATTGTTATGAATCCAATGGTAACAGCTAATCGATGTAACATTTCACTCAAAGAAAAGTCTGTAATGAGGCTATAGACTAATAGTCAAGCTCTACGAACGGTCTGTACAAATTCCGCATTCCTTCAATGCTACATGTAATAGGCAACATGATAACATCTCGAACACTTGAAAAAAGCGCTTCAATTTCACTTGTATCTATAGCACTCGTCTGAATCTCGTGACTCGTTTCGGTTGATCTGTGTACAGAAAGCGACCTCTGCCGCGAGCGGCCTTTCGCTGAGAGCGAACCCCCAGGGGAAAATGTCATATTACTTAAGCTTGACCCCCTATTCCATTCATGTTTACCACCTCATCAATGGCTACCCTCGTTGATGACAGCAGTACACCTCCTTCGTATGCCACAATATTCTCAGCAAATCCCATTCAATGCGATCAATCATCTGTATTTTCCTCTCGTCGCATGAAGAAGAAATGTACAGCTGTTCTGTCCCGCATCCGTGATATCGTCTTAGGCCATGATCTCACCCCTGAGTGTATGCTTCCAAATATCCTTGTCTGCGCTGCTGCTCTGGGCCCAGGTGCTGAGTTCTTCAAAATCCTGTTAAAACGCAATATCAAGGGCCACACAGCACTGTATTGGGTGATTGTGAACAATCGGCTACAAGTTTTTTGGGCATTGCACGAGTTCACTTACAGTTATTATTCCCCTGTTTGTAAGGACGACTTACGCAATGCATGCATGATAACCAGCAACCATGCAATTTTTAGCCAGCTAGCTCTTGGAATTCGTAAGTAGTACTACCAGCAATTTCCATCTGAAAGATCACTTATTAGGATACTAGGAAGCGAAGACATGCGTTTCAGACGCTTTTTAGGTTGCCCATCAGATCAGATTCAGGTACATACGTGCGATGAATCCGCCAACCAGTTCAATGTTGTTCTGCGAATCGGGATGTTCCAAAAACGCCTGCGCGCCACTGCCACTAGTGATAGAGGTGATATACAGTTGATACACGAATTTGTTGCGGGGGGTGCGTGGTCCACGTCTCTCACCTTATTCCTTCATTGATCTGATGGCACCTTGCAGGACACATATGGTGGTTGCACTTCCACATGCCAGAGTTTGCTGAAGGACTATGGCGTGTCGACATTGGTCTTTGTTGGCGTAGCCATCCAGCCGCATGTCTTAACGCTGTACTTGTGATCGAGGCGCACAACCGGAAATCTGGCAGTGCAACCCCACCTGAAGCACTGAAAATTCCATTATCATTGGCAGACACAAAATTTGTGGCCCTTACATCAGGGAATGTGTAAATTCCCTGATTTACCTGAAGTTGCTGACAGCAGGTTAATCAGACAGAACAGTTAGTCAATACATCAGACATGGTCTGAAATCAGGCAGGTCCATCTGATATCAGACCTGTGTCAAAACAACAGGATGATCAGCAAAACAGACACTCTGAATGCCATTCTGTCATTCAAATCCAATAATCAGCCACAGGTTTTCCCAGTACATCATACAGATCAACCTATCTTGTCATCATTACATTAAAACCACATTAATTTCAGACATCCACATAGCCAAGCATTAGGTATATCAGGTCATCTCAATACATCATCTTAACAGATTGTCAGAATAAATATATATCATTATGTAGTAGCATTCAGGTGCCCATTACCCCCAGCACTTCAGATCATAATTACAGTCTGATCATCAAGTACTCCAATTCATCCTATCAGGCAGCACATCATATTTATTTGGGATCAGAAAAATGCAAATAAAGTTCGTTCATATGGTCTGGAATGCAGTAAAGTAACAATAGGTTCAATAAAGCAATGAATTACGAAATAAGACAACTGGAGCACCCAATCCAATGAGAGGCAACAAGAGCATAGTAGCAAAGAAGAAAATGAACGAAATCAAACCATCAACAAAATATCAGATCCAGAGTCTGTTCCAGAATCGTCTTTGATGCAGGCAGCGCGCCCATTAGTCCCCATGCTGTTCCTTTGTGCCTGTGCACGACGAGATGGCCGCTTTCGATGAGCATCAATGAAGGCCTTCGCACCCTTGAAGATCTTCTTCCATTTCCTGCGACTAGCTTTATTGAGAGATTCCATCACCAATGAAGTGCGGTCGTTCCAGAGGCCCTCGGCAAATTGTGACTGTGTGGCTCTTTTCGGTTTCACATAAGTCCCCATTGACCACATCTTCCATGCACGTTCAACCTGGTTATATGTCAGCATTGTCTGGTGAATTGAGAAGAAGCATACCGCAGCTGTGGCAATGGCCAAAGCTCCCTTTGGCATACTTTGGCGGCGAAACTCCTTTGGAAGATTGTGCACATTCTCCAGGTAGAGTGCAAAAACGTCCAGGATACATGCATCTTCAAAGGCACCTTGACAATCCTATTTCGCAAGTGAGTGAACATAACCAGGTGATATTTCAGCACATACTTCAGTGCCTTGTGTGTCACCTTCAACTACCTTCCACATGTAAGGATAGATATTGGGATTGACCCATGTAATATGACCAGCTGCGTCGACAAGCTTGGTTTGTTCGGGGACGAGAAATGCGACAGCTACACGGATCGCATCAGGGTCCCATTTGTTCCTTTCTAGGAACTTGCAAACTACAAGTTCAGCTCGTTCTCCAAAGTCACTGCGGTAATCGTATGCGCATTGCATTAACTATGTGAATCAATAATAAGAAATGAGCAGCCAGTAGCGAACACCACATACCAGTTTGTAGACTGGATCGTTCTTCTTTGAGACAATGTGCGTGATGTTTGGAAAAGCGCGGTCCCAGATATCTTGCATTTCATCAGCATAGTCTGAGATATCCCATATATTGTCCAGGCAGGAAATGAAGTCGATCCACATGGGAACAACGTGAGAGTCAAATTTACGGTGTGACCCTGCAGGAAGGTCACTTTTCGTAAATTTGATGTGTCTACCTCATGGTGCTTCGGACAAGTCGTCCTCATCATCGCTGGATAATTGAGCCTATGCTCCAACTAATTAGTCATGTGCTATTTATTAGCTTTAACACATACATTGCGAGAAGAATGATTCAACGTAGGCTTGTTCCTGGTGCTTGAACCAACAACTCCTCTATCGTTGCGAGTGGATCTATCTTGTAAAGGTGGAGGTAGGGCCTAATTAAACTCTGCATGATTAGTACAGGGAAATTTTATCTAAGAAAACAAACCTTGGTCAAAGACAGCTTCACTTTCATGGGACGAGATGTGAGTTTCCGGTCGTCAAGGCTATCGTCGCTTTCCTGTCCGCTGTCATCGATGTTCCTGTACCGCTCTTCAGCACTGAAGGTTTTCGGTGGAGGTTGCAGTCGGGTATTCTGACAAGATTTATGCAAATAGTACAAGAAGTTAGAAAGATGCAAACCTTGTGGGACAAGGTGACTTTGTCAGGGAGACACATGAGTTCTGCATCGTCTTCATCGAAACCATCATCGGGTTCCATCTGAGGTCCATTGTCCTTCTTGAATCTGTCCTTGCCCGGTCTTGTGTCACCCACCTCGTCCTTTGATAGCTTGTTGCCCTTGAGAGTGCTGCTGGACTTTCTCTTTGCAAAATTGATCGCCGGTACATCCGAATCTCCCTCATATACGGGCATCCATTGGCGGGGGTCACATGTCGACTGAGACTCATCCACCTCGACTGCAGACACCTCATCCTCCTCCAACAATTTGAAATTTCGCTTCTTCTGCGAGTTCTTCAACTCATGTTTGGACTTTGCATTGCCAGTGTTGACTGCTGGTGCCTCACCGATATTCTTATCAACCTCCTGTACAGGTGAGCGCTTCTTGAAGGTATGTTCCACCTTGACGTCATCGATCTCGGCCAGAGGCATCCTATTCTTGTCAGCGGCATCCTCTTCGTCAGAGGACGAGTCATCTGTGCCATTGGCATCATCTAAAGGTTCCTGTGCCTCGAGAACAGGCATAGTGCATGGAGTGTTCGAAATGAGTTTCTTGTGTGAATTAGCTACGATATACGGGCAGACGAGAAAGACACACCTTTGAGACAGATACCATGCTGAGTGGAGTCAACATATCATCAAGCGCATTCTCATTAACATGTGTTGAAGACTTGAAGTGTGGGTCTAGCTGTGGTGCTTCGCTGTGTTCAAGTTCTTGTTCATCTTCGAAGCCACCGAACTGGATGCCATTCTGAGGTGTTGGTTTGGTCACCCCTGCAAATCCAAAAATGTAAGTGATTCAATACAATTTGAGTAAAAAAAAACTTGCCGGTGATACATTGAGAACTGGCAGGTGCACTATTTGGAGGGCGCGAAGAGTTTGGAACATGTAGAGCGACTAGATCACGCCAGCCATCGCAGAGGCCACTTCGAGCGGGCTGTGAAGCTGTGGTATTGACATCAGGTTTGAATTTTTTGTTTGAAGGTCTGCATTTTGAGGGAAAAGGTGTTCATATAATATCCATCAATATCGATTGGGATAGTAGTAGTGTTGATATGTTTGATATCAATAATAAGGTGAGTCAGCTGGGCGCTAATTGGCATGATCAACTTACCCTTCATTATCACTGTAGGCGTGTTGCTTGCTTAGACTGTGTTTTTGCCCTAATTCAAACTTCGCAGTATTGATATCTCTGCGCAACTTCTCTGCCTTACTGACTTTTGCTGGCGGTGAGTATTTGTTATCGTTGGTATGATTTTGATCAGCGCAGTCTGAGTCCATTCCAGTATCGGGGCTAGCCTCAGCCTGGCAACCTAGAATATCAAGTCTATCAGAGCTTGCCATTGTGCAAGTTGCCACATACTTGTCTTGGGTTGACTTTGTGAGCTAACCGCACGATGAGCACCCGACTTTTTGGATACCTTCTTGAAGTTGGGTGCAGGCGGCCGTTGTGCTTGTTTTTCTTGTTGTGCGTCCTCCATCTCCATCTCCATCTCGAGCTGAGCAGCCGCACCTATAGCAAGATACTTTTTCACTTCTTCAGCTTTTCGAGACGTCTTCTTTGCTGCAGTGCGCTTCCTTGTAGGGCCGCTACCGTCGAGCTTGACTCGTCGATTTCCAGGTAAGTCTGGTATACCAGGTCGCTTGTCTTTGTTTGACTTGCGAGTCTTGACCATCACTCGGTTTTATCGGTGTAGAGTGACAGTGCCCGGTTGAATACCAGTCCTAGCAATAGACTTTGTACACGTCAGGTTTTTCCTGCTAACTTAAGTCTGTTGAGGGTCCTTGTTTGTCACGCAAATAGCGTAACCGTCAATTTGCTGCGCTTCTACTGCAAGTACTAATGAGTATTACAGAATATGGTGGAACCCGAATTTCGCCCTCGCAAGTATTACTGTACTGATCCCATGGCAGGTGCAGAGTGCCGTCGTGGGTTCAAGTCCATGTCAGGATATCGACAACACCACAACACAGTGCGTATTCAGCCTCCACAACCCGCTCGTCCATGTCAGCGTGCTTTCGCAGAAGATCACTCTAGTACTCATGGTGGGTCAGATACTGGGCAGGATGCTCCTGATGATACATTAAAGGGATCCTACTATATCCCACACCCTATTCTCGATGGTTCCCCTTGTGATGCTGCGGGAAACTTCTTGAATGGAGATCATCCTCAGGCTACCAATGACACCTGGGAGCCATTTACATCGCATGGCCACTTTGAGCTCGCGGACTTCATTTTCCGGCAGAATCAGATGTCCGGGAAGCAAGTTGATGAACTCATGCAGGTTTTAGGATCCTTCGAGGAGTTCAAAGGCCGTCCTTCTTTCAGTAGTGACCGCCATGTCCATCATACCATTGACACCATCTCTTCGAGTGCTATTCCTTGGCAATCTCTCATACTCCGACATGCTGCATCTGAGAACTTGCCACCTGGTCCATCTGTTACCCCGTGGAAGCACACCGAGTACGAGGTGTGGTATCGCGACCCCCGCGAGTTAGTAAGAAATCAACTCGCAAACCCGGAGTTCACTGATAACATCGACTATTCGGCTCGACAAGTGTTTGGAGAGCAAGGTCAGCATGTATGGTCTGACTTTATGACTGGAAATTGGGCTTGGAACCAATCTGTGAGTCCGTGAATAGTTGTCTATCGGTAGTACTGATCATGGCCATCCGACAGAACACGCTGGCCAAAGATCCAGACTGTCATGGTGCAATGCTTGTTCCCATCATCCTCGGTAGCGATAAAACTACGGTCTCTGTGGCAACTGGCCAAAATGATTTCTACCCACTCTATATATCTACGGGTAATCTTCATAACAATGTCCGTCGTGCTCACAAGGAGTCTGTGAGCCTCGTAGGTTTTCTGTGCATCCCACAGAGTATGTTTATTTCGGCTGTACAAGACACTTCTTACTAAACTTATAAATTATAATAGCTGAGCGTGATCATGACACGACAGATGAATTTCGTGATTTCCGATGACACATTTTTCACGCGTCATTGAAAGCCATCCTCAAGACCTTTCGTCCTGCAATGGAGAAACCAGAGGTTGTCAAGTGCACTGATGGTTACTATCGATGGGCCGTGTATGGCCTTGGTCCATACATCGCCAATTACCCCGAACAATGTCTACTTGCTTGCATCGCTCAAAATTGGTGTGCACGGTAAGCACCTTTTAGCCTTGGATTTTCAGTGGTGATTGACTTCTAGTTATTCAGGTGTACTGCTGATCGAGCACATTTGGACGACTCGCCATCTGGTCGGCGATCACACCAACATACAAAAATTCTAATGCGCAGTTACTCAGATACACAGCTCAAGCAGGGTTGGGGAATTATAAGTGGCATTCTAGTAAGTGCAGCAAACTCAATCGCAGTAATGAATATGAAATTGTGTAGCCGTTCACAGCATATTTTCCGTGCGCTGACATACATGAACTGCTCGCTCCTGACATTCTTCACCAAATAATTAAAGGAACATTCAAAGATCATATTGTGGCTTGGGTGGGTGAGTACTTCCTTATCACCTACGGAGAAAAAAAGGCAGAACAAATATGGGCAGATATTGATCGCTGGTAAAAAATTTCATCGAAATTTTGTTGAAATCACTCTACTGACAACCTCCTTTGTTCTAGCATAGCTGCAGTGCCTTCATTTCCGGGCCTGCGACGTTTTCCTCAGGGACGAAGATTCAAACAATGGACAGGCGATGACTCGAAGGCTTTAATGAAGGTACGAAAATTCACATATACTGACATATCCAAATTACTGATACTACTTTACTACTTTCAGGTCTTTTTACCAGCCATCGCGGGACATGTTCCTGAGAAGATGCTTCAAGTGATCTGCTACTTCCTTGACTTCTGCTATGTAGTCCATCACTCAAGTCTCGACGAAGCTGATCTAGATTCTTTGCAAACAGCTCTCTAGGGCTTTCACGATGAACGTACTGTCTTCATGGATGTCGGTGTCCATCCCAACGGAATATCTCTACCCCGACAACATTCTTTATGCCATTACGGTTATCTAACGCAGCAGTTTGGCACTCCTAATGGATTATGCTCTTCTCTCACAGAGTCGAAGCACCGTAAGGCGGTAAAGGAACCTTGGCGACACTCGAGTGGCTGGCTACCTCTCAGTCAAATGTTGGTAACAAACCAACGGCTTGATAAGCTTGCTTTGTTCCGAGCAGGGAAGTTTGCCATAGGTCTGCTTGATCACCCTTTACTCCCACCTGGTGTTGAGCCAATTGATCCGGATGCAAATCATTCTGGTAAGTTGGTTCTTTTTCTCTCGACCTCACGATTGATCTGAATTGAGTGCTGGACATAGACCCAGACTTCTTCCTTTATCGTGATGATCAAGACATGGAAGATGCTGTTGCGGATGAGGGTGATGACGAGGCTGAGGTGATCGTACAGCTAGCGAAGAGACGAAGTAAATCTTTTTCAACTTTTTCAAAGATATTCTAACTACTTCTTTCAGTGTCCAGTTACCCCCGACGTGCCTGGGCGATTGGTGAAATGATTGGCACACCTTCCTTTCGTAACCTTATACGCCAATTTCTACATGATCAGCGCAATCCTGGTCATGCTATTCCGGGATGTGACATGAATATTTCACAATGCCCGGACTTCAATGGGAAGGTGGATATCTTTCACTCTGCTGTAGCGTCGTTTTACGCTGCTAGCGACATCTGTGGGGTCAACGGCATGATCCGTTACACTATCCGTGTTGCACATAGTTGGTGTGGTGGCCCAGCTCGCCATAATTGTGTTTTCATTGAACACGATCCGACTCTACCAGGATTCCGAGGGTTATATGTTGCACAGGTTATTCTGTTATTCTCCTTCACTTTTCGAGGTGTGGAATATCCTTGTGCACTCGTTCGCTGGTTTTCGACCATTGGCGATCAACCATGCCCTAACACAGGTATGTGGATGGTTGAACCAGAACTTGATGATCGTAGAGAATGCCTTCTTTCTGTTGTTCATTGAGATACCATTTTGCGACCAGTGCACTTGATCCCAATATACGGTTCCCAGTTTCTTGATCGTGATTTGACACATACAGATTCTTTGATTGCATTTCAAGCTTTCTATGTTAACAGATTTTCGGATTATCACGCTTTTGAGATCTCATTCTAAAAATTTGTAGTATGAACATAGTACTAGTATACTGGTGAATGTATATACGTGTTTCAACTTGCAGGTCTCACATAGTAGTATCCGACTGTTATGAAATTAGCCGTGGCCCGTAAGTCGACTGCAGCCATTAATTCAGCACTGAGTCAGTCTAGCACTTCACGCCTTCAACACTCCAGTACTTTCATCAGGAATCATTGCTTCAGTATTTCTGTACTCAATAGTCTCCGCAACTCCTCCCACCAACACTGGCAGTACATCCATTATTTGGTTCAACATTAAATCAAGTCATCTAGCTACATTCAGGCTGCCAGTGCATACTCAGCATAACTTTGCAGATCATTCATCAGTACTAATAACATTCACATTAACTCCACGACGATGATGGTGAGTACTAGTACTGCTACTACTAGTTCTGTCGCTGACTCGCCGCCGGACTCTTTTGATTCTAGTACTAGTAGGTTTGAATTTTGAATGGGCAAGGCTGGTAGCGGTATTTCCACTCCGTGCCTACTACTACTAGTAATATTAATAGTATGTGTCTCTGGTTTTTGTGTTTCAGTACTACTAACTTGATAAGGTTGGTGATCATAGGACATGGTCACCGTGACTAGCATTCCCAATACTATTGCTGCATGTCTTTTTAGAAGCCATCATGTCACTGCCTCTCGGGCTCTATGATGTGTCCAACTACACTGGCAGGCCTGCGAGTCCACATCTATTAGTATCGACCTTCCAAACGTCGATTCAATGCCTACCACCCCTAGCCACGGCCTCGACGGTGAATGCCGGCTTTTTTAAGCTAGGGATCTGGCCGATACCGCCACTTTTGTTTATAAGGAGAGAATCAAATGGTTGCACAAGCAAGCAAAACCATGCCTTCTAAATCTCTCACTTTCTTACAGCAAAGCACAACAAATGGGCAGGGGCGTCTTTATGAGCGCAGTCCTGCGTGGTGCTCTCAGCCCACTGTACTAGTACCTGTAGAACTCGAACATGCTGCTGGTAAAGAGCACTCTCCAGATGCTGGCACATTCAAGCAAGGCTCCAGACCCTCAGCAAGTTTGTTAAGAAGTAGCAAGTCTTGCACTTCAGGGGAGTCAACTTCAAGCCTAGAGCCAAAACTTCGCCTCCTGTTGAAGTTGAAGTCACCAAAGCCACTAGCTTTGGGCCCAAAAGATGGTAAGTAAGGTCTGCTTGAATTGATCATGGATGTGATTTCCTAAGCTATGCAGATTTCTGCCAGCGTATTATCGCCACCATTCGGAAGGGTGGCGAGGGTCCCGAACATGAGGTATGAGAATTCAGCCACGGTTCTGATCTTTCTCAGGCTGATTGCCATACTAGGTGTTTTCAGATGTGTCAGAGAACGATTATCATTATATTCCGGATGTGATTGAATTTGATGACCATTTAACTCACAAGTAAGCTTTTCTCTCTTCACTTCCCACATCTGCGCTGATCCAACACTTTCCCCAGACTATCATACATCCCCTGTCTCCAACAACTCTTCGTCAACCTGCCGACCCCAGTCCACAAATCGATTCTAGTGCCCCTGCGCACTACAGTGGGTGCCATTATATTGTCCATACCTCTTCCATCTGCACTACATACTGCCCTCCACATCCACATGAATACGATGGTCGAAAGGGGCGAAGATAACGAAGATGACGAAGACAAACGTAGTCTCGGCATTCCTGATATGCTCGTTCAACGCGAGACACAAGATGCCGAGTTCCATCCCCTATGGCCCTTCGAGATATCCTTCTCACAATCTTCCGAGGCAGCAGAAGCAAAGATCCAACTCTTTGCGGACAAGAACCCTCACATTGAGGGTGGCACCCATTTCCACATCGCTGAGGCACAAACGCACACGTTGCCAAGTGATGAGTGGGCGATGGAACAGGAGTTGGATAAAAAGAAGGTTGGGCGCATCAAACAGGTCAGTGGGAGTGCAGGTGGTAGCAGAATCTCGTCTTGCTCACACACTTGGCTACAACCCCTCAAGGTAACCGTTACCACATGGCTCCGCCCCCCGAATGGATGGTTGAGGACTACTAACCGCAAAGCGTCATATTATGCCAGCGCGGTACGTAGCATATGTTGCCACTCATTTCGACTTATTCTGACTTATTTCATGTGACGCTGACAGGTTCTCTTCCCACAACAAGACGCTGCTGGACTTCAAAATGTCCAGTGTTTATTCAGGCGTACCCTTCAAAGAATTTGTGACTCAACGGTACGGCATCTGGAGGGGGAGCATCCTCCGCGCTGCAACGACCCCCACATGTAAGTATTATCTGTCAATAGTTTTAGAAATTCACGCGTTTTTTTCAGCGCCTTAATCAAATCCCTCAAGCAATGGACTGTTCCAGACACTGTGGTTGTTTTGGACACATGTGTTGATGGCTTGGAGACAGCCGCAAAGCAAACGGCATTCAGGAGGTATTGTAAGTGGCACGAAAATTTTCTCAAGCACACCATCAATGAGGTCGAGGATGCTGAGGATGCCCAGGCTGCAAACTCCAACAAGCGAGGGAGACGCCGCTAGTACTACTACTGATACATTGTTCATGGTTCATGCAAGTTTTTGATTGTTGTTTGTTTTCACGTGTACTACTACTACTACATGATTTGCTCTTACTACCCTACATGTTTTCCCAATGTACTAGTACTACTGCAACGGACAGTTAGTTTCTTTTGTGGATTTGCCATGCAATTACTATATAGCTGGGAATTGTTCCGTTTCAGAATATGTGACTGTAGTGTATTGGTTAGTTTGTCATCGAAGTGGATGCTAAGTGGTATTTGTTTCGTGTTCAAATCTTGGCAACTTCTTTTTCCAAGTTTTCGCAGTGTTGATCAGGTCCTGCATCCTTCCGCAGAAGCTAGTATGTTCAGTTTGTAGTACAACGTTACACACAGGAGCCTATAGATTTTGAAATCTAACTTGTTGAGATTCTGTATTTCTAACTGTCTGGTCATATGCCTGCCTGTTGGGACTAAATATGAATGACATGGATGTTTAGCCTTTCTGCATATTTGATAAATCCTGTTTGTATTGAGGTTCCGAGACGCAGACTACCTGTCTCTTCATAAATATGAGAGCCTGATGTTTCTTGCATCTGTTTTTACCTGATATCCCTGAAAATATTGCTGGTTTGGGGGACACGTAGTCTGTGGTACTGGAGGATCATGAAACATGACCTTGTGTGCATCTGATTACTCTGGTTGAGCTGTAGTTGCTGCTTTTCTGATGAATAGATATACTGTGTTGTCTGAAATGATGTATTTTGGATTCAATGATCATATGATCACTCTGCAGGTGTTGATATTCTGCCAGGTCGAGCATCTGTCTCGCCTGTACATTCTGTTTGGTCTGACCTCAGATATACAGTATATCACATACATAGGCCATCAGCTTATCATTTCCTTCAGATCTCTCAGCTCATCATGGAAATGGCAGATTTCCTGATGTACACCTTGGCTGTATGTTGAATTTGGTGTGATTCCATGAATTGTGGTGTACTGATTGTCTTATGACCCACAATGACACTATTCCTTGTGCTCCCGTTGGCTACTAAAGAACTCCCCAGAACAAATATTATCCTTCGAACATGACATGGCGCATATCGAACGAGCTGGGCGATTGGGTAATGCACGAGTAAGCCTATTTATCAATTGAGGAAGCATCTCTCTTAACACTTTCCCTGACGTTGTACTGTTATAGGAAGACGAAATATGTAGACGACGAGGGCACCCTAAATGCGAAGCTGGAGATAACATTGTTATGAATCAGTCTGCATTGAGACTATAGCCAAGCAGTACAAACGATTTGTATAACTTGCGCATTCTTTCAATGCTACGCGTGATGGGCAACTGAATGTCTCGAACAACATCAAGCGCTAGTTCTTGCTGGCATCCAGGGACCAAGACGGACCATGGTGAGAGTGTAGGGAAGGGTGCTGGATGGTGCAGTTGGGCTCACCGGACGGCTGGAGGTGCGCGGAGAGGTGCTGGAGGATGTACACGGCCATCATTGGAGCAGGGTGGCGCTGGCGGCTGAATGCAGTTGGGAGCGGTTCGAGATCTATATGTTTAGTAGAGCAAAGTACAGTCATGGCACGCCGATCTGAACAGTTGGAGTCCGGACCTAAGCTCATCGATGCATTAATCACGACATCACACTGGTGATTGAACAGTCAACGCAATGCTTAAATTACTCAACAGCATACAACAGAATTCGAACAAGTTACATCAACAACTGACAATATTATTATGAATGCGTGCAATCGTGGACACCTGGTGAACTCGAGGGAATGGATAAAAGAGGTCGTCATAAGGATAAAGGATCTACTCGTTGTCTTCTTCCTCTTCGAGAACTTCCTTCGACTTCTTTGCCTTGGAAGCTACTTTTACTTTCTTGGCAGTGGATGCTGGCTTCGAAGAAGTGGGTCGCTACAAAGAAGTTTAGTCAGTCCCTTTGAAAGAACAGAAGCTTGCCCACCCCCACCTTGCGCTTCTTGTTAGACTCTTCTGCCTCTTCCTCCTCCTCTTGAACCTCGGCAATCGCTTCTGCAAAGTCTTCACCGGATTCCTCCTCTTCGTCCTAGAAATCATGCACGGATAAGTCCGCGTAGAGTAGAGACTAATTTCATACGTACTTTCTTCTTAGGAGCTCGCTTCTTCGCTGGAGCCTTCTTCTCGGCCACTTTCTTCTCGGCGGCAGGCTTTCTCGTAGGCGCACGCTTCTTGGGTTTCTCCTCAGACTCTCCCTTATCTTCAGCGTCTGACGAAGCTGCAGCTTTCTATGACGAATAAAGTGAGACTTAAGATGTTGAGCGTGCTGAAAATATTGCACCTTTACCCGAGGCTTCCTCGCAGGAGCCTTCTTTGGCTTGTCTTCAGTATCCTCATCTCCCTCGTCCTCCACTTTCTTGGCCTTTGCAGGTGCACGTTTTTTCTTTGGCTTCTCACCATCCTCTCCACCTGCGTCTTTCTTGGCTTTTGCTGGTGCCCTCTTCTTGGGCTTCTCCTCATCTTCCTCGGCCTCTTCTCCAGGAGCTTTCCTTGCTGTTTCTGGGATGTCCTCGTCAGCAACCTTGCCTTCGTCCCATGCTTTGCGAAGGCGTTCTTTATCTTCGTCTTTAAGGTCATCGAAACCATCGAGTTCATCGGCGGATTCAAATTGAGATTTCATGTTGGATAGGATCTTGGCAGTCGTGCAACCCCAATGGCGCCATGAACTGCCAAACGAGTGTTAAAAGGCGATCTTTGAGTATGACATGTCACTCACTAGCTAGTGTTCCCCCTGAAATCGACGACAGACCCAACACGAAGCTCCCCTTTGGTGATTGGACTACCTGTAGTTTATGTTAGGTGATGAAAGAGATTATTGCAATTAACTGAGCGCACCAGCGCAGGGCTTAGGACCTGCCGATGAAACCATATGAGCGACACACAAAGTCAACAAGTAACATGCCATGCCACACCTTTACATTTGGATCTGGCAGAACTCGCGTATTCCAGGCGATAACCGCTCTTTTTAGTGGTTCCCTCGTTGTCAGACATCACTGAGAGTGTCGAATCTGGGATATTTCAAGTTGGGAAGCGAAAGGAAGATATGTTGGGTGGTTCGTCTCGACGCGACAGTTTTGTTGAATGGCCCTACACCTTCAAAGTCCGACCATTGTACCTGCCACACAACGCACGGACCTGTCTGTTGACCGCGCGTTTATTGTTGATTGTATTGTGGAGACACTTCGACAAGAGCATCGCGGTCTTGGGAGAGATTTCCAGTCAGGCTTGTTTGGACAAACAGAACTCAGCATTTCACATGTGGCGACTGGTACTTAGGTCTCAATTAAAATCAACTCGAACCAGGTGAATTTAGAGACGGACAACGTCCTCCAAACAATTTTACAATAACCCCTCAACAGTCGCTGGTGGAATGACCACCGTACATTTTTAGTTGGAACACTGTGATGTTTTTGATTTTATTTCTCACTGCTATTTAGCATCAGCCGAAACTTAATTACAGACGTCGGACTTGTATACTTCAAGTTTCTGCAGGCTGTGTTTACTAATCCCTAAGGTTAGGGTTTGTACTGTGGATTGACGCTGGAGTCTGCACTTCACTACAATAAGTTGTGAGATGCATCGATGTGGTGATGTAAGAAATCATCTAGCTCTTTGTCACCGGTGTGCATAGCATCAGGAGACGAATGTCATAGGCAAGTCCGAGTCCCTGCAATACGTTGCTTTCCAACTTAACCTAGATCGTCATCGGGATCATAGTTGAATACTGTGAAAAATAATTACCTTGCGGAGCAAGGTCTATCTCAGTGGAGTGTGATAGGTCGCGCAAAACATCCACGTCTTAGTTCCTGGAGATCAACGAGAACGAGTGATAAGCGTGCTTGACGTTGTCTGAGATATTCCGTTGCCTGCCACTCACAACATCGGAATTTGTACAAATCGTTCGTAAAGTTCAACATAGCCTCAATGCAGGCTTTTTTTTAGTGAAATGATCTTCGATACATTGATTGGCTGTTACCATTGGATTCATAACAATGTTATCTCCAGCTTCGCATTTAGAGTGCCCTTGTCATCTACATATTCCGTCTTAATACTACAACAGAAGTTCTTGATATCCGCACTCTCAGCCTGCTCCTTCTCCTGGAGGGAACAAGGTGTTCGCCACACAAGTGCAGCAATCTCTCCAGCCGCAGGATGTTCCTGGTGGCTACGAAAGAGCACACTTCCGTAAGAATCTGGGCCTGCCTTGAGATTGGGTGTTGATAGCCTTCAGCGTCTTTGAAGCGTCGCATCCGAAGCATCCTGCAGGCTTGCAGCCTCAACTCAACACATTTCCCAGCCCAAGCAGCTTATGAAAACGCACCAATGTAGAGCAGCGCCACCCCAACGCCATTGAATTTGACGCATGGGACGATGGAGACCAGGATATACCTATTAGCGGCTCGGATGATGAAGATGGAGGTACGTCCATGATCAACTCAGATGAGCGCTTGGTTCCTTTTGCTGTCCACTACCTGCCTAGATGCAGGCAAATGTGAGAGGGCTGTAAAATGTGCCACTATTGCTTGCTGCATCGTGTAAATAACAGTTAGTTGGGTGTGAGAGTGCAGACAACGGGAGGGTGCGAGTCCCAAACAATACAGACCGAGCATACTTCGGTTTGGAGCAGCACAGAGTCGACGCAGAGAGGCGCCGACGCAGAGCAGCCCAGAGTCGATGCAGAGCAGCCCAGAGTGTAGAAGCTAAACACCAAGTGAGTCTCAGCGATCGTGACAAGCAACGCTGGGGTGAAACGTACGCGAGAGAGACTTTAAGTACCAAACGTCAAGATGTGCGAGAAGGAAGAAGCAACTATAGAAAAGATACTTAGCACGAGGTTCTGAAGGTGATAAGATAACGATGAGTACCGAAACGAAAAGGAACTCGACAAAGAATTCGCGCGAATCACCCGGAGGTTAATCCTCCGGGACTCGTACCACATCCTTATCGTCACAGAGCAGAACCATGCCGCTATCCTCTGGAAATTCCTTCTCGTCCTCTTCATGGGTCTAGCTTGGCTGTGTACTGTAGAATATCGCAAGTGACCATTTGTTACTGGTTACCGGTTAGGGTTGGGTTCACCCTCCTAGCTAGACTCACTCGCACATGAGCTCCTTTAGCTCTTGGTGGAGGATCGATCGATCCCCCAAGTTCTAAGTTTCACACGCCACATTCCTCGGATCTCCAGTCATGTGCGCACTCTTGCTCTCCCCCGGGTCTTGCCAACTTTCTTGGGCCGGTGCACTCTGCATCCTCCTTGCTCTACCCCAAACCGCCGAAGAGCTTTGCCTGCCTGATATATTCGCAAACTGGAAAGCGAGGTTCCGTACGGACGTCGTGATGTGCGATGACGGCTGCACGCACTAGGCCCAGTCCACGATTCGGGTCGTAATGTGGCTTTTGGTCAACATAGACCTATATAACTCGTGTCATGATATCATACATATTCTGGAACATTCAACACAATTCTCATACCCAAAAATAAAGCAGATATTGCGGCCTCACAACCCAACCACTATCTCAGATGACCCAGCCTCCCCTGCACCCTACTCGTACACTCATGCCCCGCACCATCCTCCTCAACCCTCTTAGCATTCCCATCTCCAACTTCACGACCCTTCACAAAATTTGCCGAAGTCACCCATAGCACAAGCCTGTCCTCCTTCCAAAAAAACAGATCGGGAACGTCCTTGGCGCGGTACGCCAGTTGTGCAGGACCATGTGTTTCCATGTATGTTTTAAAGGATGTGGGGGATTCAGAGGGCGAGGCAGGGTTTTGGGAGTGTCTATGAGTGTGCATGAAGTAGCTAGATGGGTCGGGTACTTACCTCCAGAAAGCGCAATCTACATCAAATGTCCTCCAAAACTCACATTGCCTATACCCCATTCCACAATCATCCGTTCATCCGAGAATGAGGAAGGTGGTCGAGTGTGGTACGGAGATGAATAAGCCTGCGTTTGTTGTCCCATCTTCGTCTTCCTGTGCATATTGATGAAGGGATGTAACCGGCGCTGCCGAGCGCAGAACCTCACCTGTGACAGTGTCTATTTTCATCCCCGTGGAACAACTCCCCTCCACCAGTCAACATTTACATGCTGGTCTCCGGAATATCTGCATCTCATGCCTCACGCCTGACATGGGTCTACCAAGTCAGAGAGGACTGATGATTCAATATCGGTTTCGTTCAGGTCTTGATACTTCGCGCTTCCGTACATGCACTGTCCAATGACTTCCACTCTTACACAGAACAAGAAGGTGCTCGAAACAGCGTGTGTTGTCAAAATCACCTGGAATACAGTTCCACGCGCTTCTCATCACGTCCCACCACCACTGCTCTGTGACAGAACTGAGTGCTCATTTGCGGAAACAGCGGCCCATACTCGATCACGGTGAGTCCTTCAGAAATGACGTCATCTCGCAGAGAAGAGGATATGCTGCACCACTGGCGACTGTAAATTTGTCTTTATTGGTGCTCCAATGGACAGAGGCAGTGGTTCTGTTGCAATTGATACGAAGAAGCGCTAAAGTAGGCTTCCACACCAAATTTCCAGTAAGCAGATCGGGAGGTATGCATTGGCCGCAGCGATCTTGTGAGGCGGGGACGATGCGGTTGGAATCCGCTCCTTTCCCTGCTTGGCGTATATCTGGACGTTGTTGTCATTCAAGCTCCTTTGTGTCGAAGGAAACGTTCGCGACTTAGTATTCAAAAGATACATCAAGGTAGGACGTACGGCTGCGGTCCGCGTTGAATACACCGTGGCACGTCACTGGAGTTTTGGCGATTGAATATACTTCTGGTGTAGACATGGTATCGTAACTCATTTATCAGCGTTTGGTGCAGAATCCAGATGACGAGCAGTCTACTCTGCAGATGGAGTCAGAGTCCGTATACACTATTGCTGATGGGCTACTTCGTGGGTTACATTCATGTCCGAACGAACAGTCACACTGGCTGAATTAGTAACAGTCTGCTCGGCAGTAGATGGGAACGGTGTGTACTTAAACAGTAATTGATTGAGATGTTACTGGTAATCTGTGAGCTACAGCATGTACGTAGAATTATATAGAACTAATCGTAAATCATTAACGCTGTGTAGAAATTAGTGACCAAGAAGAAATCGCCTCGATCTATGCATTGATAATGCGAGGCTACGGGACATCGTTTTGACCAAGCTCTCCCCCGCTATCCTGTCCGTGCTTTGTCCACACTCGGGTACAACACCCGCTAATGATAATCGTCACCGCTTTTTCGACGATTACCGTGACTTGTACTATCTCGAACTGGTCTTTGCCCTCGCAAGGAATTCTGACTGGCACCCCCATTTGTTTGGGGATCGCCATATAGATCGGTGCATTAGCATGATTCCAGAATACTGCGATGCCGGCTATAGCGTGCATGCCTTTTACACAGCTGGTATCCTTCTTAGAATCGCACCTAAACAGACGTCGGTTACATCACTCAGTACTATGAAGGGTGAACGGAACAAAGTCTTGTATACAGTGGATGCAGGTTACAAATCGAGGAGATCGTATGATATGGTAATCGACTCTAGGAATATATGCCCCCTATTACTAAGAAGGACACTGTTAATACAACGTCGAACACAATGAAAAAAACCCGTAGTGGAGTGCTCGTACTTTGTTCCCATACCATGATCGTAAGGGCGACCACCAAGGCAAAGTTGGCGACGACGTTAAACAGGATCGGGATGCATAACAACGAGAGAGGGAACGCAGCGTGGAATGATTCGTTTGAAACAAAACGCTAAGGGACATAGGCGTCAGAGAATTAACTCGAAAATAACACTTTGACTCACTTTAATTTGTATCAAAGAAACGTCTGGTATCCTGGGGATAGTGGAAACACTACAAGTGAGCGAGCCAAATGACGAAAGGGCGGCCACTACAAGCGCCGTGAGGGAGGCAGTGGAGGTTGTTGAAGGGTCCGGAGTGGCGACCATGAATAGCATCGCGATAAATAGCACGATGGCCGATGATGCGAAGTATGTCTTCGACCGCTTTTCCGCCCGTGCAAGCAAAGCCGTCCAGTTGTCGGATCGCAGCTCGAGTCCCGACGAGAATCCCAGAGCTAATCTTATCACCAAATATACGAATATTCTCTTCAAGTTTGAGGCTGGAGTGTGTTGCGTGTTCTCAACATTGCGGACCCGGTGCTCCTCAGTCCTCTCCACCTCGGCCTCCTTCCTCTGCTTCCTCCCTCTCTGCCTCTGCCTCCGAGTACTTTCCCTCGCCTTTCCCATTAGGCTTGGGGGAGATCGGCAACAACGGCATACTAGGACTGGAAGATGGGTCCGTTTGATCCGTCATGATAGTGTGGCCTGAACCTGGGTGCAAAAGGTGAACTGTGAGGGGCGGGTGAGCCTGAACGGGTCGAAGACGAGTGCACTGATTCAGTGGGCGAGTGTAGCGCGTCGGACGAAGCTGGTTGATGGCAAAATGGTTAGTGTCAGATGGAGATGTCTTTGGAGGAGCTTCGTACGAAAGACAGACCTGAGAGATGGTGCAGCGTGGCGGGTGCGCAAAGACAGTACGGCTAACTTAGAAAACCCCTTAGCTCTGCGCAGTGGGGATTATGAATGGCTGGATCGTTTTGAGAATCTAGACACTAGTATGAGTACGAGCGTGAGTGATCTAAGTACGGCGAGACGAGAAAAGAATGACTCACCCTCAGTCTGATATAACGGAGTGAGGGAAGAGTGATACAGCAGGAAATCAAACATATATAGATGGTTTGTATGCCAAACATCATACTCCGACAGATGCCGTGGTTGTGTCGCAAAACACGTGCACCAATGCACCAACCTCCTCGACTCCATCCACGGCTGTAAACTCCTCCTTGATCGATTTACCGGAGGCCCAAGCAGTTGCGAAGACGCTTGAAGTCTTTTCGGGGGGCTTAGTAAAGATGTCGATTCGGTGAGATTGTCCTTTGATCTAACATAGTGTAATTTCAGGCGACCTTGTTCGACGTGTTGACGGTAGAATGGCATTTGATGTCGATTTAGTACGTGGGCGTGGAAGAGAATGCACTCGAGTATCCGACGGTATTATAAAGCTTGGCTGGTCACGGTATTTGACCCCCTATTTCAATCTTAGGCGTTGCACCAGCACTCTACTACCGCCTACTACAACATCGATGCATCAATGGCTACCGATTCCAAAGTCGCTGATGACAGCAGTACACCTCCTTCGTATGACACAATCTTAGCAAGTCCCATTCAATGCGATCAATCATCTATATTCTCCTTTGGTCTCATGAAGAAAAAGCGTACAGCTGTTCTATCCCGCATCCGTGACATCGTCTTAGCCCCTGACTTCATCCTTTCTTCTGTGGTTCCAAATGTCAATGCCTGTGCTGCTGCTCTCCCAGCTACCGAGTTCTCCAAACTCCTGAAACAACTCAATATCGAGGGCCACACAGCACTGTATTGGGCAATTGTGAACAATCGGCCACAAGCTCTTTGGACATTTATCAAGTTCATTTCCGGCACGAGTCCCTCTGTTTCTTCCGACTTGCGCATTGCCTGTATGATAACCAACGACTACAATGTTTAAGGAGCTAAATTTTGGAAACTGTAAGTAGTAGTACACAGCAATGTCCACCGGAGAAACCACTGATTTGGATACTAGTAAGTGACAGGCGTTCGAGATGCTTTTTAGGATGTCTACCAGATGAAGTCCAGGTACATACATGTGACGAACCCACCAACCAGTTCGATGTTGTTTTTCGAATCAGGATGTTCCAGAAACGCCTGCGCACTGCTACTGCCAAAAGTCTGCGCTTCGAATTTGTCGCAGGGGGTGTGTGGTCCAAGTCTCTCGCCTTGTTCCTTCATTGATCTGATGGCATCCCTTGCAGGACGCATATGGTGGCTTCGCTTCTACATACTGGAGCCTAGCAATGGATTATGCTGCGCCGACATTGGTCTTAGTCAGCATAGCTATCCAGCGCGTTTTGACGCTGTACTTTCGATCGAGGCACATAGCCGGAAACCTGGTCGTGCAGCCCCACCTGAAGCGCTGAAAATTATATTATCAATAACAGGCACAGAATTTATGGCCCTTGTACCCTGGCAGTAGGTTGAATTTGTTGTGACTCCATGAATTCTGGTGTGCCGACTGTCTTATGTTCACAACTTGGACTTTATTCCTTGTGCTTCCGTTGATGTCTACTATAGATCTCCCGAGGGCATTGAATTCAGGCCTCCTCCCAAAATGACTTGGAACATATGGAATGAGGTGGGCGATTGGGTATTACACAAGTAAGTTTATTTATCAATCGAGGAGGCATTTCGCACTTCTCCTTAATCACTCGAACTGACTTGCCATTGTGCTGTCGTAGTAATACGGAATATGTAGATGACGAGGGCACTTCAAATGCGAAGCTGCAGATAACATTGTTATGAATCCAACTAGTCAATGTAATGGAGTTCACTTCACTCAAAAAAAGCATGTATTAGGAAGCTACAACTGAGAACTACGAACGATTTGCAAGAACTCCGCATTCCTCACAACAGAAACGTTGAGCACTCTTGTCGCTCGTTCTTGTTAGCCTCCAGGAACTAAGACGGAACATGGTGAGTGCGTACTGAACTGAATTACTGTAATTCCTTCGATACTTGTTCTATACCTTCATTCCCCCGAACTCCACAACATCGGGAACCTCAATCCATGACCCACCGAATGTCTCGAGAAATAATCATAATCGATGTTAACTGCCAGACATCAATATGCAACTCCATCAGAATACTCGAGCTACTGACCTGCTGCTGCAAAAGAAAAATGATAATGAATAATTACCGCACGCTCGTCAAGAGTGAGATTCCTGATTACCGTGGGCCGCTCCGGCGTCTCGGATCCGTCTTGGCGCGTGGCGTCAGGTGATTCCAACATTCAACCGTAGCCTGTAGGAACTGTATATGAATATGGTACAGATGAGTGCGAATCTCTTATTTCTCCTGAGACTGGGAAGCCGGGATCTCGTGCAGCTACCGTCATCGGTGTGCATCAGTGTCAAAATGGTAGCTGGATTGTCACCGCGAACAACCTCGCGCTATGCACTGAACCAATGCATACCAATGACAACATCGTGCAAGCTACTCCAAACTCCACGTCGGTGGCGAGCGAGCATTTCTCATAAGCAGTCAGAATCTCGACAACCCATTCACCAGGCTGCAAACGACGACCGACATCAGAAGACACAAGGGCATGAGGAATAATGAACTCAAATGAGACTCTAACAGGAAGGGGCCCAATGAAGGCCAACACTAGGATACAGAGATTGCGAGACAAGGAACGAGAGGCAAACGCAAAAGGGACACACAAGACAAATGACCGCCAGCCTACATTCCAGAACGATCGCAGTCGCCTGGGTTGGACAGATGGAATAATTGCACAGATTTTGCAGGATAAAAGTGAAAGCTATGAGACCTACTCCCTAACGGTAGCGGGAAAAACACAAAGTGGTGATATCGCTCAGCCTTATGCCTTTCCTGCGGCAGCTGCCTTGGCATCCTCTGCAGCAGCGACAGCAGGGTTCACCTTCTTGCCATCTTTCCATCGAATGCGTGGGGGAGGGGCACGGTTACGGCGGCCCTCGCGTGATCGTACACGTACAACTAGAAGTGACAGACGAGATTCATAGGTGTAACAAGAGAACGTTCGAGGATACGCACCATGCGAGTGAATAGCGCAAGATACACAATATGCGATTTTGATATAGAGTTTTGGAATCACGTATTCTAGCGTTGTTACAAGAATATGAGACCCCGTATATATAGACGATGAATTCGAAGGATCGCACCTGGGTAGACACTAGCTTCGCTGATATCTCGAACGGCCGCGCTCTCGACCATGTTCCTCACCGTGAAACGCTTGATAGCCTTATCTTTTGCGACGCAACGGGAGCAGTTCGAGCAACGAACGAAACCGACGTGGCCACGGCCCTTCTTGTTACGGCCGCCATTTCTTCTTTTCTTGGTCTGTCAGGGAGAGGTTGAGTCAAAGCCTTGTATATGCCATGTATCTGAAGGAGGTGATGCCAATCCGTCGCATCTCCGAAAAGAAACAGACTGCGACTCGAGTATACGAGATATCTGAGGTTCCGCAGGTGGCTAGAGGTGACTTACCATGTTGCAAAGTTTCGAGGTGTCTTGAGGTCGTCGGACGTTGCTTGTCGTCGGTATCGATAGCCCAAATTCTAGCCACGGCAAGTACCGCAAAGGCTCTCACGCTGCGTCAACACACCAAACCTGCCCTAAGTTACCTTGCGGGCTGTCAGTCACCTGACATGAACATCATGCTGTGCAATCACAATCAAATTGCAGAAATCATTTAATAGAAAACCATCAATATCAAAACACAGGATTAAATAAAAATACCACAAACTTTACAATCAAGTTATCAGACATATTCGAGGAAACAAGGACGCTGTTGTCAGAAGAAAACACCCCATACATAACCTACTTGTAACCTGCTGTATAGTTCCCACGAATAAAAAATTGCCCGGAGCAAGGTCATAAGTAAGTTCGCACAGCGAACCACTGTCAGTGAACGTTTGAACCCTAACCCGACTCACAGAGACCGGAAGCTTTACATTTCATCACGCAACGAAACATATCACTCCACTAACAAATCATGTTTGATCGAACGAGCGTTCCGGTAGTTGAATCCAGTGAAGTGAATGTCCAATATGTTTTGATGCTCACATCTTGTTCAGAATACGGACATGAATAGTTACGTGTGCTGTATGAAACTAAGGTTCAACGCCGGCCAAGATAGGAGAATTATATTGAACTCGGGAGCGAATCAAGTTGCTACGTCAAGGAGCAGCTAAACCTAAACTAGGCAACTCGAGCCCGGTCTCTACTGAGGATTCGCCGTCATTATGTTGTTTGAAGTATGTAGTAGTGTGTGGACGTGACGACCTTGATCCTACGCATCCGGAGTGTGTAGTTCCTTTTATGCCCTTAATTCGGCGTCGCCTCGCTTACAAGAACAGTCAATCAAGGTGATGTGCGGTTGCAATGAAGAGAATGAGGGCATTTACAGCATCAAATGGACAATAGTGGACTAGTACCTCATCGGCGTATCACCATCCACAAGGACGGGTATGAATGACATGTCAACGCTCAAACTCTAGCGGTCGAATCGACGCGCAGTTTACGCTCTAATGCGGTGTCCGCATGGTAATAGCCTCTGAAGACGCATTGGATGTGCATGTGAAAAGTCGTAATCTTCTGCCGGAGGTTGTAGATGATCGGTGAGGTGATGCTCCACAGCATTCAGACACTAATCGATATCGATAAGCAGTCGGACAATTAATCGGTGCGAAGGCACGGGGCCGAGTCGGAGAGTAGGAGTCGACGATGTCCGTGATGAAGAGACCGAGACGTTAGGCCGAGGTTGACACTGGGCCAGGTTCGAGGGAGCACGCGGGAGTCATTTGAACAGTGGCTCGACCATGGGCCAGCGCTACTTCACGTGGGACCATTCAGAAAGCTGTTCTGGATACATGTGATTAGCACGCTTGATATTACGAAAGAGTCACAGTTCCATGTGCCAATTGGCTGAACTCGAACTCACATCATGATGATCTTGAAACTTGACACGCGGGGTGCGAAATAGAAGACTTTCCCAAATGAGGCAATTTTAGTATTCGATCGTGTATACGGAAGAGCGAAGGGTGTGCCGGATCCGTGCTCGCACGAATTCTAGAAGTCGACTCCACAGGTAATTTTTTTCGAAGCGAGTGATAGAATAGTTCGAAGATTCGATCAGGTGCCACGTTAACAAGGACGAAACCAGGCACTCACTGGTAAATGCTTCATGTCGTCACATTCTCCCAGCATCAGCGGTGACCGACGCTACATGAACTGCGACGGTAAGGTCAACTCCGTACGACACGGTGACTGGTAGAGAGTGCGATTGATATTGTTTTGAGGGAACCTGTGCAATTGGCATCCCGACGGCACCCAAAACCAGTATTAATCTTACCATAATTGATCATCAATACTAAAGACGACGATGCGTTGCTCTCGGCGAATGTATACAGCAACTACGAATCGCGAGGGCTCTGAAACTGTGCGGAACGTTCAATTGATTCAGGAAGTCATTTTGCGCGTCGAGCCTATCGGAGAATGCACTGTTTGCTATATTCCAAGTCATGTAACGTGTCAGTCGGCGTTAATGGAAATCCAGCATACAGGATCGACTACCAGGGCCTGATTGTAATCTGTCACCGATGGCCTGAGCCCTTGGTCGATCCTGAGGAGGCCAATAGGGCCCACTCCGTTTGGGGAAAATCGCCCGCCCCACTAGAAGATCAGGAAATGGAGTAGGATTACGATAGGCGCTAGTATTCCTACTCTAGCAAATGTAACCGGAGCGTGGCCTATCCAGAGCAATAGCGGCAATACATGAGCCGGACCCATAGTCAACTGTGAGGACTGCTCAGCATCCTTCTGGGTACTACGTCCACCAGCGCAATTTCGGGTAACTATTGACGGGTGCTCATGCCACCGCCTGGTTACGTGGATAATATCATCATTTCTTCCAAAACCCAGAGCTCAAACGCCGGATCCGGGTGGAGAGAAGCACTCACTCAGCCACTATTCTGACAGTATCGAAGCACTTCGGAAATGGGGTTTTACGATGATTTCAGACCGTAGTAACCAAACAAAAAGGCAGTGCCAATCCGGGGGGTTCAATATACGACAGCGATTGGGGCACCTTGTAAAAGACCCTTGATGCGTCTTTTGATACTGATGCCAATAGTCCATTTTAGTCAGGTTCGGTACAATTAGCGTGACGGAGATGGATGTAGACCTGACAGCAAAACCCAGCGGTGACAGGTCAAAATGTTAGCAGCCTCAGCATCCAAAGCGACGCCAGCCTGTGCAGGGCCGCCTAAAGTCAGGGGTGACCACAAATTGACCCGGGTTGCACGTGATTGTTTATGCCTGTACAGCCCAGTAGACGGAGATAGGCCAAGGGTGAGATGGAGTGCTAGTCCAGGATCCAATCATATCAAATTAGTAACGTGAGTTGGAGTATGGTCATCCAATAGGCACTTACCATTCCACTAGCTCCTCTAGCATCTGAGATCTAGCTAGTGATGAATTAAACGCCTCCAGAGGCCGCTGCTCACTGTTTAAAATCACCAATCAGGGTCGTGACCGGATGCAATTATAGCTACATGCTGTAGATATGATGATCTTCGGTCTCACGATAAGGCTTGTATAAATTAAACGGATATATATATGAAATGAAGTCCTAGGATGACAACTATCGTAGTACTTGTGCCGACAAACAAGGATGGTATTGTGCACAGCAAGCGCGCCGCGGTAGAAGCTGGTTGGCGGATAAATGCGGAACGAGTAAAGTTGATCGTGGGATTGATATCTCAATTAGGAAATCGAGGTCTCCTTTGATCTCGGAGAGAAGTCGACTAAGTTATGGCTTAAGCCGAGTACCATGGAACGTGAATGCACCAAGCGACTCCCCCCCGATAAAGATGGAGATTAGTTCTTTCAATTTGTTAACTTGATCCGCAGACCATGTCAATATCTACAACCTGATATCAAAACTACAAATAGCCCTAGCTTCACTCCATTCCATCTTCCCCACCATCCATTCATCATGACTTGGAACCACCTTCCAACTGAACTCCACTTAGCTGTTGCTCGCTTCCTCCCTCCCCGGGACACTCGTGCTCTTTCACGTACCTCCCGAACCTCCTATAATATTCTCGCCCCTCAAATCTTTTCCGATGTCACAATTACATCTCGTAGTGCTCTCAAATCATTCGCCATGCACGTACCAGCCAGATACGGGGCCCATGTAAGGCGTCTTAGCGTCTGCACGAAACCCGGCGAGAATCCAGTCACACAAGAAGTTGACTGCACTGAAGACCTTGCAACCATCCTTGTCACTTGTTCTCGCCTGCGGTCCCTATCGCTCTCGCTCGCGGCATCACTTGATGCATCCAAAATCACATCTGTGTTTGCTACTCTTGCAACGGTTCAAAAATTTGAGATCGGCTGTTGGGGTCAAGAAGAGACTGCGCCTGTGTAAGTCATCGTGACGCTATTTGCACAACGTTTGTCTGATTGGTCCCCCACACAGATCTGAGCGTGTCGCAGTCTCCCTTGCCGCGTCCTTGTCATCCCTCACTCATCTCACACTGTCCCGTATCACTCGTTCAGCACTGCATGTAGACAACTGCTCTCCCCCGGGCGTTCCGTTGGTGCTCAACGACCATGACGTCCCTTCTCACCCTATCCTCGGAGAAGAGCTTTGCCTTCCCAGCCTCCTAAAACTTCCCACTCTCAAGTCACTTGAGCTGAGGGACGTATGGATCGATTGCGATGAGAATATGTGTGTGCAGGGGAAAGTGGCACAGCTGGAGCGTGTATCACTCTCCGGAAGCATGTACAGAGATGGCCAAGTAGAGAACAAGGCCTGTTTGGCGTGGCTTCGGGCGTGCGGTCCTGTATTGCGGTCCTTCAAAACAGGAATTCCTTTTGGCGAATTTCAACCATCTACTTGCCTCGGAAAGGACTGGATGGCCGCGGAGCATGAATCCGTCATTTCCCCTCTACCTACTCTCACAAACTTTCACGTGGATGCCGAGCGAGTCGCTTTGGATGACCTTCTTCCCATGCTCAATGTATTGTCCGCTTGTGAAATCAAGCGGATCACTATCGTCAACGCAGCAATGTGTGCTGCTCAGGATACATTCACACGGGAATGCGCATCTGATGAATTCGAGGATTGGCAGGATGCTATCGAACAGTTTCTCACTTCAAACCAATGGGATTCTCTCAAGAGCGTGGAGTTGGATTTTGGTGAAGGTGCTCAAAGGGTCTGGAGCTTGTAAACTGCGTAGTTTTTTTTTTGGGTTAGTGTGGATCTTTTTGTTGGACTTTTTTTTTCCCTCGGGCTCCTGTAAAACAACCCATCCCCCCATGCCGAATCAGGCATTTCATTGTATACTTATTGTTCAATTGCTAGATGTACTGCCTCTTTATACCAAAGATACCAGCTCCGCCTAAGGGAGCAAAATTATTCGCTAGATTGCCTGCATTTGCGTATCTGGTCAAAGCATTATGTCCGAAGACCCTGATATTTAGCTAGACCTTTGCCTAGAATTTACAGTCTTAGAATATCATCATCACTCTTGAAATACACGCCATATATGCTATTGCTCAATTCTACCGCTTCCGCACGTAGCGGATCGGCCCTTACAGGATGGGCTCGGACACTGCGAAGGGTCTACGGGAAGTATTCGAAGCTTGACCCTAGCTAGTCTTCATCGAGTATAAGTCAAGGCTGGGCTAAGAAGCGCCAGCCGACCGCCGACGATTGTCCAGTCACAGGCCACCAATTGACAAGATTCCGTAATATGCATATATACGGCTACGTAGGGAGCCGATGGTGCACAGCTCCAAAATTTAGGATTGCAATGCACTGGAGCTCAACTGCATTCGTATTAATTCCATATGTGTCATTCTGCGAGTCGGATGAGTCAGGGGCAGACAAATTGGACCCGTACTCACGATTGTCAGGGACGAGTGATGACATATCCGTTCGATTCGAACTTGTAGATGGACGGCGACGAGAGATCCGTTAACAGTAAGGTAATCCAGGAATCAATTGCGGCACTTATCGCAGGCCCTGATCACCAACGGGATCGGCATTGACTAACCTGGCAGTTGATCAAGATGTGGAATGGGATCCGTGTGGAAGGACCTTGCGTGCTCAACGGACTAAGACATTTCATCCAATGTGCGCAGTGCCGACTCGGTCAGAGACAGCCGTTCCAGTTCATACGGCGACGGCTGCTTCGCTCTGGGGAGCACAGTCAGGAGGCGTTTCCGTCGGATACTGAAATTCCGCTTGTACGCACAGGAGATTCTTTTAACATGAGGCGTAGGAAAATATGGTGTTGCGACTGCGCTCGACAGGAATGACTGAAGGTTCCGAATATATACATACGGTGACGGCCTGCGCATTTTTTGCAGGTCATTCCATTGTCATCGGACTAATGTCTAGTGCTTGGAAGTGGATGATGATTTGAAGCGGCGATACGGTGAAGGGCTGGGCACGCCAGCTACAAATGCATCGGTCATCAGCTGGAGGCAAGTTTTAGCGTTCCTTCGAGAAAATCGTTCGAAGATGATCGATGACTTGCGAGGCTGGCAAATTATATTTTCCAACACCGTGAGTAAGCACTGGTCTGTGGTTCATTGAACTTCTTTAGAGACGCTTTCGAGAACGTGGACACTCACGTATGGTTTGATTTGATTTGAACAGGTGTCAATAGATTTGTCTTCCAGTCGGTCGGTGCCAACAGGAATCTAGTGCGTATTTCAAAGCATATGCGACACATATGAAGGTGACCGTTAGAACAACAGTCGTTCTTGTTCTTCCGCGACAACGGTAAAGTGAACAAAAATTCGACATTTCTCATAGGATGAAGCTGAAATCAGAGATAAATCAGCGCTAAAAGAGCTCACGCAGAAATCTGTGGCGAGCTGATCTGCACACAAGTCATCTCGAAAGGGCATGGCGGCGTCAGGGAAAAGAGGTCAGAATGCACGTGACTTGTTACGCGACGCGCCCATCATAAGGCATGTTCCCACACGCTTTGGCTTGCATTAGTTTCTTTCGGGTTCAGCTTGTTATTTTCACTTTGGTCGTCATTCGGGAGTCGGGACACCATCAATTCCTTCTCTCTTCCCAACCACGATCATCATCTACCAGCTGCGTTTGATTCCCAACAAGAACAGGTTTATATCATTAAGGAAAATATTGGACTCCGTCGTTGCAAGGGGCAACCGTGACATCCTGTTCTGGGCCACCAAGACTTTCGACGTTTCTTCCATTCGTGTATAGCCTCCTTTGTTGCGAGCCTGGACAAACAAAGGTGTTTGTTCTTAACGACTCTCCTCGTTTCCTTGCTTCTTACTGTGCATTGGTTACATGGATACCAATAGCCACTATGCACAAGCACTCGCTTTCAGTTCCAACTGTACCCGCCTCTGCCCCCACCTCACCCGCTTGTACTCGTCTGAACCGATCAGAGCGGCTATTCGCGGCACCAGTAACTCCCCAGCGTTTAGTCCGCCCTCAAAAGGCTTCGTATCGATCGCCAGTTACCCCCGCAAGCACTTACTCTACGCCATATACACCATTGAGCCTCCGTTCATTCTCGACTGCATCAAGTTCAACTATAACCACCCCAGGATCGGCTTCTAGCTTTAATAAACGTTATACTGCGTCTCCCTCGACCGAAAATGATGCAATTTTTGTGGACAAGAGTCTTGCGGACATAGCTGAGAATTGGCGCTCGCGTGCCAATGACAACGGTATTAAAGTCTCAAGTGCAGATGACTCTAATTATGGCGATGATGAAGGTGCGCATACATCCGTCAATTGTTCTATGTTACTCACGCAACATTATGAAATTTTGGTTGTCATTGCTGTCCTATTTCGCTCCTCCGTGGACTAAAACTGCATATATGCGCATTTAGCCAGCGATTTAACTCATTCTGATATGAATTGTACAGGTTTCGTAACCGAGGAAGGTTTGTCACTGCCATAAAATGCTCCGTTCCGACACCACTGATAGTTTCCTATATAGCACTTCTCCCTCCGCCGTTCTTTGCAATTCATCGGCGGTCTCAGACGATCTCCAGCACAGCATCACCTCGCACCCCGCTCTCACCATATGCTCTGAGAACCCCCGCTCGCCGCGCTCTTGGAGTGCTGAATACACCGCCACCAAAACCAACAAACGTCAGCCAGTTAAAATTCAAAGGAAGCTTGACTGATCCCGCGCACACACGACGGCGGCCTTCATTTGGGCAGGTCAGTGACTCACTTCTTCTTGCTGATCCGTATATATTGATCAGCTGATGCGGTACACCGCTTTCTATATGTAGATGTCTACCGACCTCTTCGACATCGACGAGAACACTTTTGAACCTTATCCTCAGTCATTCCCTTCAGCTGAATCTTTCTCTTTGCACGACCCATTCTTCGGTTCCGTTCTTCCAACGATTACGGAGTGTGTTCAACAGCATTTCGGCGAGTCGTTTTTCCAAGCAAATATGCAATCGAACGCCACCGTCACCTCGTCAACAGCCTGCTCTGTCTGCGGTCGTGACGGCGGTCGATTTGCAATCCTCAAGCCGTGCGAACACCCTCTATGTTCAGGATGCCTTACAAGTGCCCTCAACATCGTTGGTGAAAAAGCCATGCAATGTGCTGTTTGCAAGGAGTCCGTCGTAGATTTTCAACTTCAAAGCCGGCCATTTGATGACAGCTCCATGGTCTCATCTTCACCTCAGCATTTTAATTTCCTATCCGCTTTCACTCCACTAGACAGAAGTTCTTCTCCCTTGCAACAACGCCCTCGCAGAGCCAACAGACCTCTGTTACCCAGCTTTGAGCCCGTAGCTTTTGCGCCACCCATGGACCAATTCCCCGTCCATTTTCAACGGGATTTGTCCCCTCCCAACTTTACCCCAGCCCCTAAGCAACAAAGAGTCGACAATGTGGTCCTTCGCATTGACAATGTGCCTTGGGTGGGTCCATACTTCCGGCTTTGTGGCGTATCTGATTTGTCGCAGGATATAACTCCGCCAGCTATCATTACCTGGCTCAAGCAGCCCGTCGTCCGAGTGCATGTTCTATTGGATTCGCGGGGTAAAACTCTCAGCCACGCATTTGTTGAGCTTGGCACGGAGGAGTATGCGAGGGCTGCTTTACGTGGCGTGCAAAACTCTGTCCTCGGCAAAGGCAAGCGTGCGCGGGGGGTCACCGTCACTCGCAGCTCGCAGGAAGAGCTGATGCGTTCTGTACGACGTTCGTGATCTAAAGCCTCTATAAGTCTGACAACATTTGGCAGCTGTTCCCGACATGGAAAGGCGGTTTCGAGGGCTCTAGATTATCTTTCACTAGCTTGAGGAATGATCAGGTTAGGGGGGCGCTCGAGATGGGCATCATCACCGACGCGGAACTCAAGGCCTTGTTGCACCTCGTGCAGTCACCTGGCGTATGTTATTATGGTTTCGCTTGTTATGTTGTTCGCTGAGGCTTTTTAATAGTCGCACTTCCTGAAAGTTCCCTCTCTTCCCTTCCATTTCCTCATCAGCATCCTATCCAAGTTCCCGGTGGACGTTGACGGTCGAGTATTCTGCACCAACAACCTTCGAGATAACTTGTTCAGTACGTGTTCTCCATTCCAACGATGCCTGAAGTAGTATTTTAACGTCATTTTCATACAGATCTGACTTATTGTGAGTTCCTCATATAACTTGACCAGCTGTGACCTAATATCCCGTAGCGGCGTTGGGTCTTCTCATGACAGGGGTGGGGAATGCGATAACGGAAGGATCTCATTTGCTGGATGAACTTCTTCAAGCTGCGGTGACTTGTCAAGGTATTGTTTTGCTGATATTTTTGGATTTAATGCTAAGCGCCATCATCCGCAGCCTTTGCGCCACAACAAGCCCAGATGATTTCCAGTCTAGTGAGGCCTTCTATTCCGCCGTTTGTTCCCGCTTTCCAACTGCCGGGCGGGCACTTCCGCACTGACAGCGGCGTCTTCATCCGTGACAACGATATCCCTGTCCCTAGTCCATACGCCACTCTCTCCGCTCCTAGCCCTCACGGTACTGTTCCTGCTCTCGGCCCATACAACGACATTGCCCGAGAGTTTGGCGTTGATGAAGATCTGATTCAAAAACTGGCCCAGAGGCTGAACGTTCTGCGGTGATACCCGGATGCCTGCTTCTTCATTGCACCACGACCCACTTGTTCCGGACCTTACTCCTAAGCATGACGTGACTTCATGATTATTTTCTTGTTACCTCAACGTCTTCCCCTGTTTCTTGATGATCGCTAGTCGACTTCATATTTCTCGGGTTTTCGGTGTATCCTCGATCTTGCCCCCTCTCTCATGTCTAGTTACCACACTCGCTATGGAATCCTGCATTGCTCTCTCTCCTTGCAATCTCTCGGTCTCTTTTGCCCTGTATTGCTTACTTGACGACTATCCCAGCACTGCTTTGTATCGTAGACCCATGCTGGTAGAGCTACCATTATCAGATATCTGCATATTATCCTTGGCGGTGTCATGAGCTATAACGTGACCTCGTTATCTTACGTGACAACCGCGGCTCCCTATCACGTCCAAACATTGACAAACCCCGTTTGGGCCGCGGCCCAGTAGTTTTTTGACCCTGCCTAGAACCTACTAGTAGCCAACCTTGGTCATGACGATCAGAAAACTAGTACTGTTGCAATGTTAGCGTCAGTGCACAATACCTTGTCTGTTCCCCACCAACGACTCTCACAAGGACTTTAATCCCTCTCGTCAGAGCTGACGAACGAAAATACCTCTCGCCTTGTGGTGCAAAGCGCTCTTATCGAGACACAAATATCTCTGCACATATATATGCCAGTGTCCATAGTATATACCTGTTCAGAGATAGACTGTCTCAGATACCATCGTCACTAGCCTTGATGACTATTTCTCCCATACAGTGGTTGAAGCTCTCGACATGGGAGCTTGAGCTCGAGAATACAGCGTTTGCGACAGATAATAGATGGAGCAATCATGATATGGACCCTACGCCTCTTCACTTGCGAACGTGGAGGTATGTGTTATCCCTTACTATGATTTCCCAACACATCTGACTGGTCTTCTTTGTACCAAGTTCATGGAGTTATGTTCGTGACACAGGCCAGTTGCCAGACAGTTCAAATTAACACCAATGTTTTCTAGGTGTCATATTGGTTTTCCGATGCCAGTAACATCGCTGTCTGGGAGGCGAGTTCAAAAAAGATGCGACGACCTGGTTGCGACTGATGTCAGACAGGTTGCGAGCTCGATGTTAGCTATTGGTCTTTCCTGGTGAGTTTTCACTTATTATATCTTGAATAGGATTGACAATCTGAACACAGGAGACAGGCCTTGCCTGCCATTGTTGTTGCGTACTGTATAACGGCTGTTCCGATACTTCTCACCGGGACTATTGGTACCCGCCTGAGGGTTCCATTCTCGGTCCTTAGCAGGTCGTCTTTCGGATTTTGGTTCAGCTACTTTCCTGTTATTACGCGAGGAATAATTGCCATGTCCTGGTTTGGAATTCAGGTAGGGCATTGTAAATCCATGTGTGGTGCTCTCTCTGGTTTTGCTAACAAAACATGAACAGACATACAACGGTTCTGAATGTATCTATCAGGTACATTAATTGCTGTGGAAGATTAACGTATTTTAACACTATAATCTTTCAGATGCTGAAGGCCATATGGCCGTCTATTGCCCATGTCCCGAATCACATACCGGCCTCGTCAAACACCACCAGCGTTGGCAAGTGCTCATTGCTCGAGCGCACGTACTTTACTGACCAGAATCGATGTGGCCAGGCATGATGTGTTACATTCTTTACTGGCTCCTCCAATTTCCATTCATGCTGCTGTCTCCTCAGAAAATACGTTATCTCTTCATGGTCAAGGGCGTGATCGTCCCATTTGCCTGGCTTGCTATGGTCATTTGGGCGTTCATAAAGGTTCCTCCTTCAGTTGGACTATTTGCTCAGCACGCTACAGTGCAAGGCTCTGAACTCTCTTGGGCTTGGCTGACGGCACTCAATAGCGCGCTGAGTCTTTATTGTGGATATGCGGTCAACATAGCGGATTTTACGGTTTGTGACTACATCACATCCTTCAATACGTTGTGTTGATCTTCGAACAGCGGTATGCCACACATGAGAGAGCGTTAGTTCGCTTCGGTTGTGGTACATGAATCATTCCTGACCTGAATTAAACAACAGACAATATTCACAGGCTATCATTATTCCAGTAGCATTCACGCTTTGCTCGTTCGCTGGACTGGCCGTGACGAGTGCAGGAATTGTCCTCTATGGTTCGGCACTGTGGGATCCCCTACAGCTGATTGACCAATGGGACAATCGAGCAGCGGCGTTCTTTGCCTCGTTCGCATTTCTGCTGACGACCATCGGGACTAATATTAGCGCTAATGCCCTTGTGGCTGCTAACGACCTCACAGTCTGCCTTCCGAAATACATCAACATAAGACGCGGTCAAGTGATATGTGCATTTATTGGTGGATGGGCGTTCTGTCCTTGGGAAGTTCTGGCAAAGTTTGTTGACTCGACATATTGTCCTCTTATTTTGCTCATTCATCTGTAGAGCATCCGGGTTTCTGTCATTCCTGAGTGGCTACACCATTTTCATTGGACCATTCGTTGGAATTATGATTGCCGATGTAAGTAAACCAATCGTGATCGACGGCGCACACTGAAGTTCTGTTAGTACTGGCTGATCCATCGGGGTCGAATTGACGTCCCAGCGATGTACCAAGTTTATGGTCGATACCGCTATACATTTGGAGTGGCGAGTTCATTTCACTGGCTAGCCCGGATTGTGCACGTGGCTGAGGCTCGTTAACAGAACTGGCGTGCTTTGGCAACACTCGTGATTTGCATCGCACCAGCTATGCCTGGGCTCGTTCACTCCATCAATCCGTCCATTAACGTTGGAGGTATCCATAATTTATTTGCCATCGGGTGGATATTTGGAGTGCGTACACTATCTACGTTCACCCGCACGACTCACTGTTACTTCCCTCCTTTCTTCATAGTTCTGGTCAGCATTCGTCGTTTATTCCGTCCTCTCGATGCTGTTCCCGGCTCGGGACACATATGTAGAGAAGGCTGTATTACCCGATGATGTGATACCGCCATCGGCCTCTTGTGATTCTACGGACGAAGATGTGGAGAAATTAGACAAGGGTAACGTGACTCCTGAGACTGTATCGGGGCTCCATGGCTTCCACAAATAGAAGAGAATTTTCGGGCGTCATTTTGTTTTCACACGTCGAAATGGTATTCATACTATTGCCACACATCAGGTTCGCGTACCAAAGTTCCCAGTGACGGAAAGAATGCGGGGAAGAGCAGTAGCTATCAATGCGCCAATGGCACAACCAAGCGCTAAAGTCGTGCCGGTACCCAGGACGCCCGCATCCCTGGAAGACAAACGGTGCAACTTCGGTCTTGGACCTTTGTCAAAAACGCTGGAGCACGTTGCTTTAGACTCAGGTGCTATGAGCAGACCGGCAAGACCATCCACGCTTGAGAGGTTCTGTCGCATCCAATATGCTCTAAGGCCTTTCGGATTAATCTCTGTGGAGACAGTAGCGCGGTCATGTGACTCTTTTATGTCGAACGATCGGAGGAGTTGAGTGCGGTGCGTAACAAAGTCATAGATTGGAACAGCAGTTCCACACGACTAGGGGAATGATTAGACCCAACTTCAGAAATAGGTTAGATCGGAGATACTACCGTTAGACACTGGTATACATCGATGACGATAGCCGCACGAGACCCCGGTTTACGAGTCTCAGGAGGAATAAGAGATTCATACTCTTGCGTGCCATATTCGTATACAGTCCCTGCACTGGTTGTCAGAATGTGAGTGATACAAGGGAAGTAATGTTATCATGTACCTGTCCCATACAATCTCAAGATCCTAGGAGGTCCCTCGAAGGAGTGAAACAGAATCGTTATGCGACCATTCTCCCTGATATGAGATATAGTCTCCACACCTTTAACCCAACAGTTGAATAAGATGAAAATCAATCAACAATGAAACACTCACCACTTCCAGTCAAATCCTCGTACCAAACTCGGTGAGAGTTCACCACATGGAAGCAATCCGCTGTACCCTTGGGGGAGAGATTGACGTGTCCACCAGGACCAAGAGGAGCTGAAGCAACCCAAAACATGTGCTGTTTCCTGACCCATTCAATGAGAGATTCAGGTATTTCATCATAGTACTTGGCCATGGGGATTATCTGGCTAGCTTGGTGTCAGTCGACCTAAGTATAAGTAGTGCGCTGGTTAAGTCCGATCGGTGTTTAAGAAGACTTAATTATAACGTCTTAGATCTCAAGTATAACACTATCTGGTCATGGGGTAAGTCACTTTCAACCGTGCCATTGAGTATTACATCAAATAGAAGGAATTATTCCCATTCTTTTAGAAGATCGGACTAGAGGAGAGTGGGGAGAGCCAATCAGTCGCTGACTAGCGTTCCAGCAAAACAAATGCGTACGCACCAGGCTGACGAAAGGTTAATGCGACGAACCACTTTTCACCTTGAGTCAACCATCTCGCAACACAAAAACGTGCATAACTAGACTAGACAAGATACGGTTCAATAATGTCAAAGGTACACAAGGCCAGTTGTGTCAACGCAGCAAATGAAGCAGAATAACGAATACACACACGAAAGGTAAAGAGCACTACGCATATGGGCACGTATTAAGCTCGGGTGGTGAACATATCAAACTTTCTGGTAACAGATAGGATGTAAGGAATGGCAGTAGCGACCAAGGCACCAAGGGCAAAACCAATGGCTACACTTGCACCGCTGCTCTGGGAGCTTCCCTCTCTCGAAGATGAGTATCGCAACTTCGGTCTTTGACTGTCCTTGTTAAAATTATTGACAGGCGTCACTTTGGAATCAGGTGCCACGAGCAGACCAGGCAGACCATCAAGGCTTCTCAAGTTCTTTTGTACCCAATATGCTTTGATACCCTTCTTATTGGTCTCTGAGGAGGATACGGTGTCTGAAACGCGGTTGCGTGACTCTTCGATATCGGCCATTCGGAGGAGTTGGGTGCGATGTGTGACAAAATCATACATTGGAACAGCGAATCCACATGTCTTGATGGAACTGTTAGATCGAAAGACACCTGAGTAGATAAAAGATAGGCTACCGTTTGACATTGGTACACATCGATGACGATAGCTGCACGGGAGCCCGGCTTCCGAGTCTCAGGAGAAATAAGAGATTCGTACTCTTCTGTACCATATTCGTATACAGTTCCTACACTCAGATGTTAGAATGTAATTGAAGTAAAGCAAACGACCCTCGGCTTGTGAGCACCTGTTCCGAACAATCTCAAAATCCTGGGAGGTCCTTCGAAGGCACTGAACAGGATCGTTACGCGACCATTCTCCCTGATATGAGAGATCGTTTCCACTCCTTACTCGCACAGTTCTGAGTTAACTAGCGCAAAAATAGATCTGTGATACTCACCGCTTCCGGTCAAATCCTGATACCAAACTCGACGAGAGTTCACGACATGAAAACTATCCGCTGTGCCCTTGGGGGAGAGATTTACATGTCCGTCAGGACTCAGGGGAGCCGAAGCTACCCAAAACATGTGCTGTTTCTTGATCCATTCGATGAGAGATTCGGGTATTTCATCATAGAACTTAGCCATGAATAGGATCGTGCAACTAACTTGGTGCCACGACTTGCGGTGGTAGAGGATAGTAGCCGCTTGAACGTAACGATACCGTTGTTTGCAGCTGTGTGCGATTCTGATGAGATCATGAAATCTTAGTGGCACGTATGGCGAAACAGGAAATCCCCTTCGGACGATGTTTGACGCCAGCAGATATCAAAAACAGCGAAGTTTGACCTCACTTCATCGCCTGTACGGTAACATGTTTCAACAAATAAGCAGAGATCTGAAAGAATGTGTACTTACACTCTGGGATCACGGTTGGGAACTTGTCGAAGATCTCTGAAGCGTTCGGTGTTTCTCGGGCCAGCTGCTTTTATCGGTGAAACATATTTGAAGAATTCGGTGCTGTTGCTAGGCCTCTCATCACTGAAATTCGCTGTCTCCACTTGTCGACCGCAGAGCACTCGTCGAAGTGAATCCGAGTGACTTAAGTTTAAGACTTATATGTGCGAAGTTCTCACGGTCACGAACTCCCTTGTTCAGGCCTCAGGCAGATCACCCTAGTACTACTACTTAGTGGTTCAACGGACTCGTCGACGGTTCGTCAAACGCGGCGGGCAGGGCCTCAGACAGGACGTACAAGCATTTTAGTGCGTAAAGCTTCGCCTACCATCGTAAAATTACCTTGCCTGTTTCTACTTCACGACTTTCCTGAAGCTTCAGAACTTGTTGCGGTCCTTCTACAGCAAAATCATGAGCTCAGAGGGTGTATTACAGATTACAATACCAGGTTAGAAACCATGCATCTACTCCGCGAAAGGCTTTTAATCTTGAATTGTTCAGACTTTGATGATGGTGACTTTCAATCTACTCCCATACCCTTCGGCAGGTCTGGAGGACATGGCTTTGGTGCATTCGGAAATGCAGGTTCAGGCCCAGATTCACCAACTACCATGACACCCATTGCACTTCCTGAACGTAGTGACCGAAGCTACTTTCATAGTCGTGGCGATTCTGCGGCATCAGAGGATTCTTTCAGTTCACAACCTGTTCGTCAGACTGGCAAGAGCTCACATACGACCCAACCTTCCATAACTGCAAGCTCTCCGTTTTCCAAAAAGCCATCTTTTGCATCCATCAGAAACGCATTCAAGAAGAACACCGATGTACCGCCATTACCTCCACTAGACTACCAAGCATATCCCATTCTCAAGAATCCTTTTAACCGCTCGACTTCGTCCTTGCCTCATTCCACCTTGACATCTAATAAGACATTTAATGCTACAAGTCCACCGCATCCTCGCCCTCCGACACCTGGATCTAGCGAATCACGTCCCCGCGCTCCATCAAGGGCAAGAGGGCATTCCACTGCAAGATCTTATCATTCTCAATCCGGGTCTATATTCCACAACTTGGACACAGGGAGTGATCATGGTCACGGCTTTTCTTCCTCCTCATCTCCTCCTCCTGTTCCCCGTGTGCCCGATACATTTGGTGCTCAGATGTTTAGTGGTGATGGGCCCTCGACAATGGAGGAAGATGATAAAATGTCATCGGGTCTTAAGACGCCATCCGATTATGCTCTGCATGCAGTTTTTATTCGGTTTGCTACTCTTGCGGAGGCAAAGATGAATGTATTCCTTCGTGAAACGCTGGTATTTACTTTCTTTTCGGATCGTTCGGGTACATGTCATTTACGCGCCTTTAGGATCACGAACCTTTGTTGTCGGACTTCATAGGTCCCTCGCTGGATCCCAAGTTCGATGACCTGCTGAGCTCTTTGGGAAAGATAGCTCAGAAACATCCCAGACCCGTCATAGACTCAATTATGCGCTGGAGACGCAGTCATAATGAAAATGTCAGCGCCGACATCCTTAAACATCATGCTAGCCAATCGCCTTTATGGATACGTGGTGCGAGAGTCCAAGAACCGTCTGCCTTACTGAATGAACGAAAGTCGCTGGCATCAATATATATCATGTGTCGCGCTCTGATTTCCGTTTTGTCCGTTTTGTCCAAAGACGCACTGGGGGATACACTGGGATTTACCTTGGAGGAAACAACGTTCGAGCAGTTTAAGAGACCGGATTTGAAGCTCCTTGCACAGTCAGCTAATCATCGGCTGAATGCTGAATTGTATGCTACGCTGCTCGGACACTTGGCAAACGTTCGGTGAGCATGGCATTTTTATTGCGCCAACATCCAAACTAATTTTCCGCCAGCTTTGTCAGTGTCACGGATCGATTTCTTGGCGAGCTCGAACCTGTGGCCAATGGTCAGGTAGCGAAAGACCTCGACACGAAGTATGAGCATCTAGTAAAAGGGCTCCGTCATGTTCAGCTGAGAGTGAGAACCATGTTTTTCGCTGTCTTTTTGTGTTTATGTGTCAGCTAGGTATGGCCTCCGGAGGCATTCGAGGAAGGGGCCGAGTTTCTGGAGTTATTGGCCAAGTCTTTTGCAAATGCGCATGGTCTTCGGTTTAAGATCGCTTTCGCCGATACGTTGACTCGACTCTTGCACCCCATTGGAAAGGTAATTCCTATTCCCTGGCTGGTACTGATATAGGCTAACACGACCTCAAGACGGCGCAGGCTGAAGTCAATCATCCACAATGGGAAAAGGCGATCGAAAGGATCTATCCTCGGGCTAAGGAGATGATGAGTAAGCCGCGGTATTGGCATATCGCTTACCCGTTGGCCGTCACCAGCCTTTGTGTTGCGCCTCACCAATACTTTCTCCGCAACTGGACGGCTTGCTTTGAGTATGGACTGTCGAAGATGAAGGTTCGGATTCGATGAGTTAGACGCTTTCCTGGCTGACTCCTGATATAGGAAAAGATCCATCGGATTCCTGTTTTGAATGGAATCGTTCGATTGATCTGGACATACCTGTATCGATGCCAGGAGCCATTAACGACGAGCACCACCAAGTTGGACTCCCTCCTCAAACATATATTCCCTGCTGGACGGTCCTCAATTTTCCATCACGAGGAACATCTTGAGCCGTTCATCTGCATCGTGCATTTTATCTTGTCACGTTATTTCGACTATGGGTTGGGACTCTGCATGGATTTACTTCAGGAAGCCGTCGTGAATTCTTCATCCACAAGTAATCTCATGGGTATTTTGACTCCTGAACGTGTCGCTGTATCGGCCCAGGCTATCCTCTTAACCTTGAACGCCTTTGAACGTGAGGAGTCAGTTCCTACATGGCCGTCTAGTGTCGATTTCACTGCTGTACCATCTTGGGATGATTATCCTTCATCTTCTGACGCTCTTCCGGCTGCAGTGGTATCCAGGCATGGAGTTCAAGAGCTGCTTGACAGATATGGAGCTGTAATTACCGCAATCGCGCGGTCAGCGAGTCAGTCTGTGGGTCAAATGTCTATTTTTGATGAACAGTGGTCGCTGTCGCGGTTCAACTCTATCAATGAAGAGTCCCACAACATCATCATTTGTCGTCGTCCCGAAGGGTCCTTTGCCTACCCCAATCATCTTGCGTCGCAGATATCTATGCTACAGACATGTCTGCAATCGTGGCCGCGCTGTTTGCACGCCTCTTTGCCCCTCATGGACGCTATCAATATACTCATCCGCAGTATTATACATGTTGAGCCTCGGATCGGAGAAGCGGCAGGAGCGGCGCTGAGGCGCTTTATGGCTGACGGGCGGTATGCGCCTGCAGTTTTGCGCCACTTTACGACCTTCCTATTTGATCCTGCCTATGTTGGGCGGGAGGGAACCGGTGCACGGCTTGTGCTCGAGAGTACTCGACTTCTAAACTTCTGGATTAGCTTGGTGGAAGGTTGGGTCAAAGGTATTCTGCAGAAACCCAAAGCGGACATCACAGCTGGTGAGAGGGAGGCCGTTGCCCTTCAAGGGGACGGGATCACTGCAGGAGCATTGTTTCTGTTATCGCATGAAGCTTCTACCGTCCGTTGTGTAGGGGTTAAGCTCATCCGCATACTCGCACCATTCGTTGCTCATATAGATGTGGTCGAGGGTGCCCATGCGGGTTCCTCGGTCCTTCTGAACGGGCTCCTCGATTGTGATGCTCGTGAGAATGCTCATTTCCAGGGCTTTGACGAGTTGTTAGACAGCTCAGAGCTGGACCGCTTGCAACAGTGGAGGCGGGCTGGGCGGAAGGACGTACTACTGAGGATCGCCGATAGCAACTATGACAAGGACAAGAAAATATGGCGTTGTGTTTTCCCGAGCTTCATCCAAGCCTCGTTCCAGCAACCGCTGAAAGTTGTGGTGGACTGCCGTGCCATGATCGAGGCTGCAGCATCTCGCTATCATCCTTCAATGTTGCACCTTGCCGGACTCTCGACTCTCAGCGGACGATTGCCGTCCGGCGCTTCTAGGGCGCCAGGCTCTGCTGATAAAGAGGGGTACAAGCAAGTCAAAGACAACATGAACTTGATCGATCAATGGTATTTGTGGATCAAAATTCTGTGTGCTACGGCCACTGTATGTGATAGCCGTGGTGGTGCTCCCATCCAAGCCGGTCGAGAACATCCACGAGCTTCTTCGGACACTATCTTCGAGCGCGAGCGAATGTCAACTACACGCTGCCTCTTCAGGTACCTGACACCATTCTTAGATGTGGAATATGCCCCATTCCGTGATGCAGCTGTAATCAGCATCAGTTCTTTTCCTTCCAGTGGGTTCTCACATCTTTTGGAGGATTTGAATCACTTTACTTTCCTGCAATCCCATGATGACGTTCGGTCGAAATCTGGATCTCCTGGGTCAATTGGACGTCCACGACGTCAGGCTCGTCTGCATTCGGCTGTTGCTCGTATTTACTTCCTCACCGCTCATCAGCTGCAGCATCAACAATCTTCTGCAAAGCAGGACGCAATTTCATATGCGCTCAGATTCATTCGGAATATGCAAACCTTCCTCATTGCCATAGAAAATCGTGACAACTACGCGCTCCAGCGCCTACGCCGCTATTTCTGCGGTTTGATCGAACGGTTCTTCGATAGTCTGGCGAATCTCGCTGACTTGGAACAATTCGTTTCATCGTACACGTATGCGACTCTTTACAGGCTTTGTGAAGAATGGTGCCAGTATGGTGTTCAGTCCGAATCAGCGAAGCAGCGATACATCCTCATGCAAAGAGCTGCGGCTGCGGCTGTGAATGACCCACAAGCCGAATCAGACTCTGCTGAACGGTTTCAACACGAGACTAAACTGCTCTCTAATGCAGCTGTGGGCGCCCTTGCTTCCCTTTGTGTAAGCAAAGCACTTCATTCGTCATTCTTCACAACTAACATAGTAGCAGCAAAGGGCATACTATCATTCTGAATCCATCGGTTCCTCATCACCTACGGATCGCCCTCAGGAACCTCCAAAACCTCTAGAAGCTGTACAGATCTTGGACCGTTTTCATCATGTCTTTCAATCTTCTTACCCTCAGGTCGTGATATGTGGAAGGTACTTCTTGATCCTTTCCATATGAATCATCTACTGATTTCTCTGTAGAAAAGCCCTTCGTTCCCTCATCTCCTCCAGAAAAGCGGATAAAACGTTGCTCGGCGAGGTCCTTCGACGCTGCTTCATCGATTCCAATGACTCATCATCCAGCAGCTCCACCTTCTTCGAGGTTCTGTCTGAGGTCGCGTGCAACGTGGATGTTGGCTCGTACACTTTTGCCCAAATCATATGCTTGGGCTTGACCAACCTTTGTCACGCTGATTCTGGAATTCGACGGAAGTCTCTTATGCTTCTCGAAGTCATGCATGAGCATTCCTCGGGCGTCCTGTCTTTTGGCGAATTTGAAGCTATGGCTGCCAATCCTTCAAGCAGCGTATATTTGCATGTACATCGACTAGTCACCGAACGTCTCTCCGGCGAACACCCCAATCATGCTGATGATGTGGTTTCGGAGATGAGTGCCTTGCTGATGCGTATGCCTCGTAGTGGAAACGAGAGGGTTGCCCTTCTACTGCTGCAGAGCCTCGAGTCTTGGGTCCCAAATATACAACTCACACTTGACTCCGACAGCGAAGCGCGTTTACATCCATCTTCAGCCAGCAGCCGCATCCTGTATCATCTACTCACCCTCACAAAACGATACAGCGAGAGTCACTTTGAACAAGTTGCCGCAATATGGACGCGATTCGCAGACCACCCCAACGAAACCTACGGAGCAGCCACCGTAACTTTCCTCATCAATCAAGCTCTCAAGGTAGCTACCTGCGCATTCATCGATTGCGCCTCCACCATCATAGCATGTCTTTCGCGTTCTGCTGCGGCGCTGCAAGTTTACGAGCTTCTTTGCTACTACTGCGAGCCAGAACGCATGGTGCCCTCCCTTGATCACCAGCTGAAGGAGCCTCCCAGCGCCGAAGACTTTGAACTGTGGTCTGATTTGAATGCTCAGTTCGCGGAAGAGCAGCCAAAGATACTACTGGGACCGGCGCAGTATGCGCTGATCTTACTGGGGTCTGCTGCAATGGAAGGACAGTGGACGTATGTCACTTCTATACCGGTCATTCTGCAAGCAATCTTTCCCAATCTTGACCATCGTGTCCCCCTTATGAGGATCAGGGCGCGTGGGATGCTCTTCCAGCTCTTGCGTGTTTGTATTCCAGGTCTTGCACAGTCCAATTGCTCTGCGTTAGTAGCGCAAATCAGCGCCTTGGAGGACCAAGGAGATTCTATATTTTGGAAGGATGATGACGACAGCGATATCGTGGAAACTCGAATGAGTGCGCTCTTCTCCCAGGTACTTCCTATGCTGCAGCCTCTTGTTCCGGCCCTGGAACAGACTGTAGGCAAACTGGCACTGGCCTACGTGGAGCTTTGCAACATGCGGAGTCTCGCGCTTCGTTCTTTACAGGTGCTCCGCGTATTGAATCTGCCTTTGAGTCATGCCGCGCTGGATCAGTTGCTGAGCCGTTTATCTGTTTCCATAGCAGACGTGGATCCAGAAAGACAGGCTTTTTCGGCGGAAGTCATCCGCACCATCACCTATATGGCTACGCTACACGAGCTCGACGATACGCTGCTTCCTCGTCTTTTTTGGACCGCACATGCAGTAATGTCAACCAGTTCAGAAACTGAATACATACAAGCCATCAAACTGTTGTCTGCATTCCTTGATCAGATTGACTTAGATGACCCCCATATCGTTGCCCTCATCGTTGCCCAGCGCCCTCGAGATTGGAATGGGTCCATCGGATTGCAGCAAGCCCTTTGGAGTGGGCTGCGTTCTGCCACGACTCTGGACGACACCTTCACAGTCCTTGGGAGACTGGCCAAACTGAAGTGCGCCAAATCGTTAGACTCTACCCAAACTTGGCTTCGAGACCTCTTTACTCTATCCCTACCTTGGTGCATGCACGCCATGTGCACTGATCAGCATGACGAGGCTCTAAACGACTTCTGTTCTTCAATCGCGGACTTGGCTGATGAAGATGGTCTGGAGAGCATCAATCGGATCATGGTCTCCTTTGTCAAGCGTCGCTTCAGGACCAAAGATGACTTCCTTCGTCAGTCCATTAGCAGTCTACGCGACCACTACCCTCCCGACGACTGGACCGATATCGCTACTCTTTTGTTGAGCTTAGTGCTCAACAAAGAGAGATGGCTCCAAGTGTACTCAATGCACGTGCTTAAAGTCTTATTCCAGCAACGCGCTTTGCAGTCGTTGGGCACGGAGCATCTCATGCCCTTATTGCGGTTGGTGGAAGGAGAGTTGGCGACGCAAGCTCTTGATGTATTGGAGGAGCCGACGAAGATCACTGGAGGACTCACAGCCAAACAGGTCCTTCGCATGAGCATGCACGTCTCAACGCTTACCGGTGCGGGTGCGAGTGAGGGGGAGACAGATATCTTCGGTGTTCCAGAAGAGTCTGGTTGGTGCATTGCACGCGTATCCCATCAACAAACCCAATGTCGGGCCAACGTCCTTGCGGTTGCGCTCATGTTTACGACATCATCACGCATATCTACGGTGTACTTCCAGCCAGAGGTGCAAGAGCCCTTGTTCGCTGATGAGCTCGATGAAGACTTGGGAGTCCTGGTTCAGGACCTGCACGAGCTAAGCGAGTTCTTCCAGAAGACGAAGCCTCAGACGCAACTCCTACCGAGTCAGCAGCTGGAAGATAGAGTCGCCTCCATTCTAGCTAGATCCACAAACGACTCCAACGACATGCCTCAGACACCATTCGGAGACGTATTCCAGATCGGTGGATCACGCGACCTTTCGGACGACTCTACGGACGAGTCTGATCCTGAGTCTGAGGTAGACGCATTCAAGTACGACTCTCCAGCGTTTTATCATTCCGCTCCCAATGGCAAGGGCTTGTATTAACTTATCTTCACCACGCTTTGCTTGTTATCGATGCATTATAGAATCATTGTAGTCTACATACATTATGGCAGCTCTAGAGTCATGCACCAGCATTCACGGATAGAAATTGCAGTATGATATGAAGTCCAACAGCGTTCGAATATACGATAAAGATCTGGTAAGCTCACCACCTGCACGACGTCATTGTCCAACAGGAACCTCTAGATGCCGCAGGGCTGGGGAGTAGAAGCACGCCAGCTCGCGCGAACCAAAGCACGCCAGCTCGCGCGAACCAAAGCACTCTTGCTCGCATTCCCAGAGGACTTAGAACACCTTTGTATCTGTGAGATGACAATATATTGTAGAAATGTGAGTATATGCATGTACGTGTATCTGATACAATACTCGCGACTGACTTTGACCAGCGAGATTCTGCTGAATGACATCCGACATTCGCACCATGGTGGTTTCTTGGTTCAAGAAGTGGACTTTGCGCTTGGTCGGATGCACGTTAACATCCACAGACCTCGGGTCGGGGTTGATGCCGCGTAAATGATGACTTTATATCGCACTGGGAAAATTCGGTCTTACCTCAGATACACAAGAGGGGGTCGTCGATGCTGTTGTCCAGCGGTGCTTTTAAGGTTTAACGCAGAAGTGGGTCTGTGTATGATCTAAAGGCGAATTTCATCAGTACTTATTCGCGTGGCTAACCCAGCGTGTATTTCGCCTGCTGCAATTCGGATTCGTGAAGTCTTCTTATTGGTTGAGAGTCTTGAGACAGATTGTGCGCACATAATGCCAATGTGCCATGCTGAGAGTCACATGCTGCGCTACATCTCATCACGTGATTATTGGTGGTTGGAATTCGAATTTGTGATGAAGTTGCCCTTGAGCTTCCTTGATTAAAATTTCTCCTAAAAAACTTAATCGGCACTTCGGATACGGGGAATCGAACCCCGAGCTACCGCGAATTCTAAGCTTGAGATCTTGAGAGGCGGTAATGTTAACCATTACACCATATCCGATATACCAAGTATCATTCGGGTCACATCAATGCATCAGCACTACGGTAGTACGAGGACTCGTTCGATGTGAGCGTAGATGGCCAAATAAAACATTCTCATGTAAGCTTCAATGGAGTGCATGCCTCAAACATGAAGTTATCATGATATCATACAAAGATCGGGCCTACATAGAACGATCTTTTACCATCATGATGGTAAGGTCTCAGTTCAGGCGCCGCCACTGCAAAAGTTTTGGCGTCAACGCTCGCAAGCACGTGTTGGTCATGGTCCGAGTCGTAGCCGCCTAAACGACTTGCTGTGTTCCACTCTGAGTCTACTCTGTCTGCTCATCTGAGACTCTTCCGAATTTCACTAGCTTTTCTTGGAATCCAATATAGTACCTATAACTTCCTCATGTCACAAGCATCAGCCACCGACGACCCCGAGGAGTGAGTTGCAGCTTCCTGGAATCTGTCACCTGTCTAACAGAAAGATAGGGAGAATATCAATGTCGAACCTTTGGCAGAGCTGCCATCATCTTAAAACGACTTGCTGTGTTCCACTCTGAGTCTACTCTGTCTGCTCATCTGAGACTCTTCCGAATTTCACTAGCTTTTCTTGGAATCCAATATAGTACCTATAACTTCCTC